CCGGGGCACTAGGCTTCCCCGGGGCACTAGGCTTCCCCGGGGCACTAGAGGAGGAGGGGAGATTTACTGCCAGTGGCTGGCACCATCGCCCGAGCTTATGCTCATCGCAGTGGAAGTCAGCCACTCTCCCATGGTGTGGGGGCACCGGTGGGCAGAAGGGATTGCTAGCAAGGGAGAACCAGGCAATACGTGTAACCGACATACGAAAGTAAGACACCACCGCTCACCACCGCTCACCACTGGTGCTCAGCTTCAGCTTCAGTTCGCTGCAGGGCGTCGTTGTGAAGGGCATGCCCTCCACGCGGTCGTTGTGAAGGGCATGCCCTGCACGCTGTCGTTGTGAAGGGAGCGTCCTCCACGCCGTTGTGGCGCGGGCGGGGGCAGTGGCGGGCAGAGGGGGTTGCTGGTTATAGAGAGTCACAGGGGTAAGAGAGACAAGGGGCTCACCACTGGCACCGTCGCCCAGCTTCTTCCCCAGCTTCAGCTCACTGAAGGGTATGTCCTCCACGCCCTCATGGTGCGGCGGCAGAGGAGGACAGAAGGGGTTGCTGGCGAGAGACACCCAGGCAAGGTGCGGGAGGAGGGCGAGGGAGGCGGGGAGCGAGTGGAGGTTGTTGGCTGCCAGTCGAAGCAGCTCGAGGCGGGAGAGAGAGCCAATAGACGCAGGCAGGGAATGGAGCTGGTTGAATGACGCCTGCATAACGAGAGAGGGAGAGAGAATTGGCGAGCGTGCCCGGTATTAGCGAGACCGAAGAGGGTGGAGGCGTAGGGCAGGGTTGCACAGCTGGCAGCACAACTGGCCTATTGTAGCAGTCATAATGCTTCCACAAGCACTCAGCGAAATTCGAAAGCAGGAGAGGAGGCGACCAACACGGCTCGGAACTGGAGAGGTCAGGGCGAACCTGACTTTTGAGTTGACTCAGAGGTCGGAGCGAACCTGCAGCTTGACGAGCCTGGTGCAGCAGCCTAGCGAATCTGGCAGCGAGGAGAGGCGGTTGTCCGTGAGGTAGAGCTCCACTAGTGACGTCATGCCGCCTATGGACGAGGGCAGCGCGCTGATGGGAGGATGCGGGGGCGGGAGGAAGGGTAGGAGACATGAGATGACGTTTGTCAGTAAGAAAGAGCTCCCCAAGTGACGTCATGCATCCAACAGGCGAGGGCGGGGAGCTAAAAGGAGGGGGGGTGTGGAACAGAGAGCAGCCAAGGGAGTCGGGCAGGGGACGTGATGGGGATGGGGGGGGGGGGCAAGGAAGGGGGGGGGAAGGGTGTGTGTAGGAAGGAAGGGAAGGGGGACGCCACATGGCGCCTAGCCAGGCATCCTGGGTGCAGCCGTTCCGACCAATGAAAGAACACGATAACCGCCCTGCAATCGCACCTGGTGTAGTTTGAGTCGACTCAAAATACACCAAAACAAGCTGACACCAGGCATCCTGGGTACAGCCGGTCGTAGCAATGGAAGAACACGAAAACCACCCTGCCATCGCACTGAGTCTGCTGCTCTTTAGTCCCAGCCAGAGCACCCTTGAAAGCCGACTTTTGAGCCAGCTCAAAAGTCTCCTTTTTGAGTCTTAGAAGTCACCTCGTTTGAGCCGAATCAAAAGTCTCCTTTTTGAGTCTTAAAAGTCACCTCGTTTGAGCCAACTCAAAAGTCTCCTTTTTGAGTCTTATAAGTCACCTCGTTTGAGCCGAATCAAAAGTCTCCTTTTTGAGTCTTAAAAGTCACCTCGTTTGAGCCAACTCAAAAGTCTCCTTTTTGAGTCTTATAAGTCACCTCGTTTGAGCCGACTCAAAAGGCACCCGGCAATCGCACCTGAGCCTGTTGCTCTTTAGTCCCAGGCGAAACACCCTCGTGAGCCGCCCAATGCTCTCAGGTAGACCCTCCAGCTGGTTGCACATCAGGTTGAGCGTCAGGAGTTTCGTCAGGTGCCCGATCTCCTCAGGCACAGCTGTCAGGTGGTTTCGGCCCAGGTCCAGGTGCTCCAGGTGGGAAAGCTGGGCTATGGCTTGGGGAAGGCTGTGGTAGGGGGGTGGGGAGGAGGGAAAGGAAAGGGGGAGTGCAGGAGGGACGGAGGAAAGAGGGAGCAGGTGAGAGAGGGAAGGAAGGGAGGAGGGAGCGAGGGAAGTATGAAAGCTTATCATTCAACAGGAAAGGCTCCGCACTGACAATTCATCACGAGACGAGTCGCACTGAATTCATCATGAGACGAATCGCAGAAGCGCCTGATTTTCTCACCTTGTGAGCTTGTTTCTCGACAAGCTCAGTTTCTTGAGCCCAGGAACGAGACGACCTTTGAGCCCACTCTAACGTCCGCGCCTGGTCTTCTCACCTTGTGAGCTTGTTTCTCGACAAGCTCAGTTTCTTGAGCCCAAGAACGAGACGACCTTTGAGCACACTCTAACGTCCGCGCCTGGTCTTCTCACCTTGTGAGCTTGTTTCTCGACAAGCTCAGTTTCTTGAGCCCAGGAACGAGACGACCTTTGAGCCCACTCTAACGTCCGCGCCTGGTCTTCTCACCTTGTGAGCTTGTTTCTCGACAAGCTCAGTTTCTTGAGCCCAGGAACGGACAGCAGAGCGTCAGGGAACGCCGCAAGCCCATTGGCCGACAGGTCCACGTCACGCAGCGATGCCAGCGCGGCGAGCGAGGCGGGCAGGGGCGAGGGAATGGCTGCGAGTCGGGGGTCGTTGGTGAGCTTCAGCTGCAGGGGAATGCGGGGCATGCGGGGCATGCGGGGCATGCGGGGAATGCGGGGCATGCGGGGAATGCGGGGCATGCGGGGAATGCGGGGCATGCGGGGCATGCGGGGAATGCGGGGCATGCGGGGAATGCGGGGCATGCGGGGCATGCGGGGAATGCGGGGCATGCGGGGAATGCGGGGCATGCGGGGCATGCGGGGAATGCAGGGCATGCGGGGAATGCGGGGCATGCGGGGCATGCGGGGAATGTGGGGCATGCGGGGAATGCGGGGCATGCGGGGCATGCGGGGCATGTGGGGAATGTGGGGAATGGGGCGAGGGATGGGGATGGGTTGGCCGAAGAATGGGAGAAAGGATGGTGTAGGGTCGCGTGGTCAGGCAAGAGAGGCAGGCAGCGGTGAGAGGCAGGCAGCGGTGAGAGAATGGTTGTGAGCCGGGAAGGGATGGGGACGGGAGGGATGGGGGTGCGGGGAGCAAAGGCGGACTTTGCGCCTGAAGGCAGGCATGGGCGATGGACGCGTGGCTAGCCGGGGGTCGTTGGTGGGCTTCAGGTGGAGGGGAATGCGGGGAGCGATGGGGAGGGGGGGACGGGAGAAAGGATGGTGCAAGGTCGCGTGGCGAGTCTATTTTTGAGGCGCCTAAAAAAAAGAAAGGCTGGTGCAAGGTCGCGTGGCGAGTCTATTTTTGAGGCGCCTCAAAAAAAGAATGGCTGGTGCAAGGTCGCGTGGCGAGTCTATTTTTGAGGCGCCTCAAAAAAGGAAAGGCTGGTGCAAGGTCGCGTGGCGACTGAGAGAGGCAGGCACGGGGGAAGCGATTGCAGTCGTCGACGACATCCGGTTGGTTCGCTAAACGCGTAACTGAGATAAGTGTCGTGCGGTCTCCCTAACGTGAAATCTACGGGCTTGAATCCACAGGTTATCACGATTTTTTATAGAATAACTCACTCCGATGACCATCTGACCAATCACGAGCCGCTGCAGCGAGGAGTGCCAGCTGTCACCCGTCAGAGCCATCAAGTGGCTCAGTGACGTCAGCATGACTCCCTGCCGTTCTTTCTCTCCATTACCGTCGATTCCGCCGCCTTTCGCGGGATCCGAGCCTAGGAACACCTGCAGGTAGCGCCCACGGAGGGCCCAGACGAGGCAGGCCGTGCCGGCCGCCGCGCAGGCCGCTAGAGCTACTGCGGCTTGAGGCCCGCCACGTGTCACCGCGACAGTCGCCATGGTGATCGATCTACACGACGAAAGAATATAGGAACTAGTCGGCGTTTGGCGTGGAGAGGAACGGAGAAATTGGCTAAGTAGCAAGTATGAACTGCAGGGGAAGCGGTTGTCGTTTGACGCGAACTTAGCGAGAGCAGCAGCAGTTGGAGAGATTTTCTCAGTCAGTCAGTCAGCCAGCCGTCCCGTCAAAGCTTCCGCGTTTGCAGCGATCGATGATGCAGGCAGCAGATACCTACCCAGCGACTCACTGCAAGTGTTGCGGAGCTTAGGACGGCAGGACCTACAGCACCTGAGGCTATGGCAACTGATTGTACTGCTCTCTTTTCAGCCAAAGGTTGGCTGGGGATGAAAGTTAGAGCGCGGGAGACGGGGGGAGGTGGTTGGGGGAAAGGACGGCGTGCAGGGGAGAGTGAGGAAAGGACATTGCTTGGAACTCATCCGCCCGATTCCCGAAAGTCTCACACCAAGCCCTCGGGATTGTGCGCCCGTACGTCTTTGAAGTGTTGGCGAAGTCAGACTCGAAACGTTACTCGTGTCGCAATTTTCTGTGACATCCTGGATGGCCCAATGACGACGCTACTTTTTCGTGCGTATTCGCAAGCATGCCGCGCCTGGCTCTCTGGAACGTCCGATTGCTGTCGGTTGGTGGGAGATATTGGTGGGCTGTGGAGTGGAACCTGTGCTGTACAGTGCTTGTTTGGCGCGAACCAATCAAGGCTCGCACCTCGATTCCGTCCCCGCCTGACTGGTGGTCCTCAAAATTCGTGCGACTCGTCAGTCCCTTTACCACAGCACACCTTAAAAGCCGTACAAAGTGTTCTTACAACGTTTCATGCACAATAAATCCCCTTATAAACCGCAGAATCACCTTTCACTTCTCGATATTACCCGCTCACCGCCAAAGCAGCAGTTGCGGACGGCGGTTGATCCCCATTGCCTGTCTGCTGCTTTCCCACGTCTCGCTCTTCCTCCGCCTATATTCTTGGGAAGTTATGGCTGCCCAAAACCGACCAGCCTCAACCTCTCTTGTCGCTGAACCACCCGTCGTCTCGGCTTCGTCGCCCGCTTCGGACACATCGTCAGATTTGTAGACCAGGAAGCAGCAGCTTAGGGAGAATCGCACCGCATCACCGCTGCTAACCAGCCAATTGGTGTCCAGAGCACCAACACCGCTAACCAACCAGACACGGTGTCCGATTGCACTCCAGACAGTTCCGGCCAATCCGCGACTGCCAGGTGTCCGGCGTCCCCCTTGTAACTTCGACAGTTTAGACTCCCAGCCAATAAGGTTTCCGACGCACAACCACCACCTCCAGCGCGTCGCTAGCGACTCGTCCTTGATAGTCGCTCATAAAAATAACTATTATAAAGGACCAGTAGCCGCCATGGAGATCAGTCTACGAGTCATCGGTGGGGATCTGTCCTCTCCCGCAACCTCTCGAGCTCCAACCGCCGTACCTCGCCTTTCGTCCCATTCCTCGCGATTCTCCTATCGCCTCTCCGTCAGCCGCCGTCAGCGCTTTCCCGGCTGCCGGCTCCCGCCCGGCCGTCAGCTCCGTGCTGGCCGTTCTCACCACTCTCTCTTCCGTCACCTTGTCTCGCGTGGCGAAGCCGTGCCGTTTACCGACGCCGCCATTACGCGACCTTCTATCTTGACGGGCCTTAGAACTCGAATTTCTCACCCCATCCACGTCGCGACACTCACTCATGACTCCATCCACGTGGATCTCCCCGCGAGGTCTAGAAACTGACGGTGGTGATCGAATTACAGCCGTCCACGTGGCATGGCGAATCGCCGTGGCGCTGTTACTCGTCCTGGCTGCGGGCCCTCTAAGATCGGACGGCGCGGCGCGAGGAGCAGCGAGCGAACCACGTGCTGCCACGTTGGTTCTTCTCACGGACAATAAATTCGGCGCACGATGCCTGGACGGCAGGTATGCACGGAGTGAGGTCTTTTACAGGTGGCTATTGAGTCGACTCAAATATCACGTCAAAGACGGCGCGTGATGCCTGGAAGGCAGGTATGTACGGAGAGAGGAACCTGCCATTTGCAGTCAAAACTTATTGATGGTTTGGAGTGGGGCCCTGGACCACATCCAGTAACCATGTTCCGAGTTTCGAGTCCCTCTACTAAGAATCAGCATCTGCTTGTACAGAACTTATGCTCACAATCTTACTGCTGTGAGTCTGTCACTGCTCACAATCTTACTGCTGTGAGTCTGTCACTGCTCACAATCTTACTGCTGTGAGCGTGTCACTGCTCACAATCTTACTGCTGTGAGTCTGTCACTGCTCACAATCTTACTGCTGTGAGTCTGTCACTGCTCACAATCTTACTGCTGTGAGTCTGTCACTGCTCACAATCTTACTGCTGTGAGTCTGTCACTGCTCACAATCTTACTGCTGTGAGTCTGTCACTGCTCACAATCTTACTGCTGTGAGTCTGTCACTGCTCACAATCTTACTGCTGTGAGTCTGTCACTGCTCACAATCTTACTGCTGTGAGTCTGTCACTGCTCACAATCTTACTGCTGTGAGTCTGTCACTGCTCACAATCTTACTGCTGTGAGTCTGTCACTGCTCACAATCTTACTGCTGTGAGTCTGTCACTGCTCACAATCTTACTGCTGTGAGCGTGTCACTGCTCACAATCTTACTGCTGTGAGTCTGTCACTGCTCACAATCTTACTGCTGTGAGTCTGTCACTGCTCACAATCTTACTGCTGTGAGTCTGTCACTTCTCACAGTCTGACCTGGGAGGCATGGTTTGATTGACATGCCTTCTGCTCCCCCTCTCCCCCTTCCTTTTCCGCGCTCACCGTTCCAGCCCACCGGGGTATTACCTGCGCCCAGCACCTACAGAACGCAGCACCTCGTGGCACATCCCCTCATTCCCCCATCCCCCTTGTCTTCCCCCGCTCACCTCACCTGTCCACCTTTCCAGCCCACCGGGGTATCACCTGCGGGGCGGGCAGGACCTTGGGAAGGCATCACGACATGGCATGGCACATCCCTTCATTCCCCCATCCCCCTTGTCTTCCCCCGCTCACCTTTCCAGCCCACCGGGGTATTACCTGCGGGCAGCACCGTGGGAAGGCATCACCACGTGGCACATCCACTTCCCGGGCGGCGGGTGGTGCGCCACCAAGAGGGAGTGCGGATGGCGCGCCGGGCGGCTGCTGGGGGGCACCACCATGTGGCCGCCCACAAATAATGTAAGTGGGAGCATTCAACCATTAAATGGTAGTGGCCAAACCATTTCCCCCTCCGTCTCAACTCTCCCCCCCACCCACCACCCCCTGCGCCTCCTCCTCAAAGTCCGCCCCCCTTCCATACCCTCTCTCCCCCCCCCTCACCCTCTCTCCCCCTCCCCCACCCTCTCTCCCCCTCCCCCACCCTCTCTCCCCCCCCCCACCCTCTCTCCCCCTCCCCCACCCTCTCTCCCCCTCCCCCACCCTCTCTCCCCTCCCCCACCCTCTCTCCCCCTCCCCCACCCTCTCTCCCCCTCCCCCATCCTCCCTCCCCCTCCCCCAGGTCACGTGGGCGCAGAACCGTTTTGGGGGCATTCTGAGCAGCAGCGGGGAGGCGAACCCCTTCTTTGCGCAGTGGCACCTGGCCATGCCGGTGTACTGCGACGGGGGCGGGTATGCGGGTACGGCCGGGCAGGTGGCGGTGGGAAAGGGAAGAGTTGTTTATATGGACGGCAGCAGGATCGTGGGCGCCATACTGGAGGGTACGGTGTGTGCTGTATGGTGTATGGGGATTCAGTGTTCTGGCCATGCCTGTGTGCCTTTGATCATAGGAGAAGGTGGCGGTGGGAGGGGGAAGAGTCGTTTATATGGACGGCAGCAGGATCGTGGGCGCCATACTGGAGGGTACGGTGTGTGCTGTATGGTGTATGGGGATTCAGTGTTCTGGCCATGCCTGTGTGCCTTTGATCATAGGAGAAGGTGGCGGTGGGAGGGGGAAGAGTCGTATTGTCCTTCGATGGGGTGGCTATGTGGAAGGGGGGCTGGCAGTAACGCGTCTATCCTTTCCCCGTCAACCCCCGTGTTTCTATCTTTCGTCCTCACACCACGAGCCAAGCCCTTTCGTCGGCAACCACTGTTTTCATCGCTGTCAGTGCTGCGCCTCTCATTCCCCTTAAAGCCTTTCTCGTGTTTCCCCTCCCCTCTCACCCCTGCAGACCTCCTCACCAACCGCGCCCTCTCAACCGCCACCACTGTTCTGATCTCCGGCACCTCTGCGGGAGGGCTGCCAGTGATGCGCCTGTGCGACGCCCTTGCTGCCCTTCTCCCCCGTGCCTCTGTCAAGTGCTTGCTGGACGGCGCCTTCTTCCCTGGTAAGCATCACTTTATTTTTGAGGCACCTCAAAACTTTATCTGTCCCCGGCTTCCTATTGAGCACCCTATCCCGTGTTTCCTTGCAGAGGTTCTCCTCTTATTACTCGGGCATGTAACGCCTGGCGTTGGCACTCAAAAACCCACATGCTTTTCAACCTCTCTCGATCCTCCCACACCCCACTCCCTCCCCCCTCTCCGCTCCCCCAACCCCCCTTCCTTCATCCCCAGACGCCCCGGACCGCAATGGGCGCATGCACTTCCAGCGCTTGGCGCAGCAGGTCTCAGCACTGCACCAGTTCTCCCCCCAGTCACGCTGCGATTTAGGTGCGTGCGCTGTGTGGTGTGTCGTGCAGTGACCCCTGCATCTGAACGACAATACCTAAGGTGCTTCTTCCCCATCATGCCCCCCGTCTTATCGTTCCTTCCTCTCCTTTTCATTCTACTCTTCCGCCTACCCCTGTTCCACATTCTTGCCCTGCAGTGACCCCTGCGTCTGAGCGCTGGCGATGCTTCTTCCCCCAATACGCCCTCCCGCTCGCCTCCTCCCCCTTCTTTATCGTCAACCCCGCTTTTGACAAAGTATCTCTCTTAATCGGTAACCAGCTTCCCAACATCACCAACCCTGTAGCGTGCCTCAAGAGAATAGTCCGCTCGCAGACCAATCTCCTGGCTTCATTACAGTCACGCTTGTTTCGTCCAGTGCCGGAGGGTCAAGCTGGTTGGTGCACAGAAAGGGAGTGCAGTGCAGCACAGAGTACAGCAGCATCGGTGTACAGTAGCATTCTCAGTATAGTGCAATCCAAGAAAGGGTTTGGTGCGTTTGTGCCAGTGGGGCTTGTAGCGCACAGCACAATTACTTCACCGCTGTGGAATTCTATGAAGGTTGCTGGAACTCCGATGCTTCTAGCTGTGGCGAGGTGGGTGGCTTCGGGGAATACCGGTCATCCGCTGCTCTACACTTGAACAATTCTATTCTGTTCTAGTGGATACTAGGGAGTATGGTCAATATGGTATTGATGTGATTTCGTGGCATCACCAAAACGGATGTCAATATTGTTACTTGCTTACAGCTTTTTCTTGCTTCAATGTATCATCACTAAATTCGCAATGAAGGGAAACGACGAGCGAGATGTTACAAGCCGAACAGCACCACGTCAGCGCGTTGATGCCACATCACCTCGCAACACTTCCTCGCACATTCCGCATTCGTCGCTCATCCCTCCTCAAGTCGCATAACTCAAACTTGTTACAGCTGGGACCCCTCTTTACCTCCCTTTAGATGCAACTTTGATGGATGTTGCAACCCAAGTTGCATTTTCATTGAATCTAGTTCAGATCGGACGGTCGAAAATTAATAGGATGCTTAGATTACGCTTCATGCTGCAGTTACTGGTTCAAGCTGCTGAAAGCACGCACTCTCACCAAAGCACGCGGTCCGTTCGCTCAATTCACGTTCAGCAATCTGTAGGGAACCACGTCAGCTGGAAATGCGTCAACAGTTTCAACCTGCTCCCTGAAATGCTGGCCCCTACGAGGCCCAACCGCAGCGCACGCAACCCAAATTCGCGACACGAGAAATCGTGCTAGAACGTCCCACACCAACCCGTAATTCCACGGGCGTTCCAGCCGCCCCCCTCCCAGCCCTTGCGCCCATTTCCCCTCACCCGCACCATTGCTCGCACCACCATGACAGTCGGCGCCCAGGGCTGGGCGGCGCTGGTCGTTCCTCGCCCCGTTGCCAATGCCGATGTCGGTAGGTAAGACTCGCCACAAGGCACGGGCCGCAGCTAATTCAAACTGAGTTCTGAGTCGCTCGCGATACGAGAACTTAAAGCGGTCAAGACTTTACTCGTGTACGCATAGGCGGGGATGTTAGCGGTGGGGCTGCCGCCTCATGGCACCTCATTTGACTGCGCATGAGCGACATAGGAACGAGCAAAGCCAGTGAGATAACTCTATAGCCAGTGAGGGGCGTCAGGCCGCAGGCTGTGTGTAGTGGATCGCGGGCTGTAGTTGCGGTGTAACGGTCGTGGTCGTGGGGTCCGTCTAGGAATGGGATTGACTCTTCCGTCCGCCAGAAGTAACTTCGACGTTTTCGCAAGTTTCGTTATCCTACCTCTCCCAGCAGCTGCCTCATCCGCTTATCCAGGAGCATTGAGAAAAGGGGGAGCGTTGACGAAGGCGTTGAAGGGCAGAGGATTGGAAAGGGGTGCGGAGGGGCGCGCATAGGGATCGGGGAGGGGTGCGGAGGGGCGCGCATAGGGATCGGGAAGGGGTGAGGAGGGGCGCGCATAGGGATCGGGGAGGGGTGAGGAGGGGCGCGCATAGGGATCGGGGAGGGGTGAGGAGGGGCGCGAAGGGGCACGATGCGAGAGCGGCCAGCGATGGAGAGACGACGGGCGGTGGGGCGGCAGCCGTCGTTGCGCCTCTGCATGCGCCTGGCGTTCGCTCTCTTTCTCCTCGCAGCACACGCTGAACGCGGTTTAGCGGCGGCTTCTAATTCAACGAGCGGCGGCAAGAGCGACGGAAAGAGCGGCGGAAATGGTGGCGGAAAGGGCGGCGGACATAGCGGTGGAACGGCGGGCGGTGCGAAAAAGGGCTCAACGCATGGTGCCAAGGCGAGCGCGAACGAGGCCGGTAAACCAGCCGGTGACGGCATCGCGCGGCTCGTTCTGCTGCGCAACAACTCGTTCGGCGCGAAATGCCTCGACGGCAGGTGCGGAGAATTCCGCTTCGGCGTTGAATTGATGGGCGTCGCGCCATGGTTGCTGCAATTTCTGTAGCGCTGGTTCGTCAGCACGTTAGTACGTTTCACCCTACCCGCACCTCGCCTGGTTTCTACCGCCGCGAGGGTTACGGCGGTAGAGCCAACTCCTGGCACATACACTTCCGCCTTTCCCCCATTCCCCCCCGATCCCCCCCATTCCCCGCACCATTCCCCCCCATACCCCGCACCATTTTCCCCATTCTCCGCACCATTTTCCCCATTCCCCGCACCATTTTCCCCATGCTCCGCACCATTTTCCCCATTCCCCGCACCATTTTCCCCATGCTCCGCACCATTTTCCCCATTCCCTGCACCGTTTTCCCCATGCTCCGCACCATTTTCCCCATTCTCCGCACCATTCGCCACTCCATTTCTTTTGCAGCCCGCCTGGCTATTATCGCCGCGTGGGCTACGGCGGCGGAACCAACTCGTGGCACATCCACTTCCCTGGTGGCGGGTGGTGTGCGACGCGCGACGAGTGCGCGGAACGTGCGACGACGTTCCTCGGGTCGACGAAATACATGCCGCAATCGTCCCAGGCGAGTGCGACAGACGCGAGAGAGTGACAGCAGCGGATGGTGCGCATATAGAGGGTGCGCATATAGAGATGACTGGGATCCTCTTCCCCCAGTAGCCAGAGAGCCAGCTTGACTTTGTTAAGGCGCCTAACAAAACCTCTCTCCGCGCTCCTGCAGGGGTCATGGGTGGGCGGGCAGATGACGGGAATTCTCTCCCCCCGGCATCCGGAGAACAAGCTCTTCTACAACTGGAATCTCGCGCTGCTCGCGTACTGCGACGGAGGCGGCTACGCGGGCAGCGCGGGGAAGGTCGCTGTGAAGAGCAGCGGGAAATCGGCGGTGTTCATGCAGGGCGATGCGATCGTTAAAGCCGTGCTGCAGGGTGAGTGCTTTGCAAGTCGACTCAAAGCAACGGAGCAATTCATGCAGGGCGAGTGGCTGAATTCGAGGGGCAAGGTGCCCGGCTGCCAGCTGCTGGCTGCCGGCTGCTGGCTGCTGGCTGCCGGCTGCTGGCTGCTGGCTGCCGGCTGCCGGCTGCGGGCTGCACTCCGGGCGATCACCCCCGTCTGCCGCATCTTCTCCTTCTTCCTGCCGGAACTCCCTTGTCTCTATCTCCCCTTGCCGCATGCCACGACCGGAACAGAACGCAAAACCCCGCCAACGCTAAACGCCATGACATGAGCGTCGCGCACGCTCAATTCAGGCTGCTCTGCTGGCCGCTTCCCTTTCACCCCAGCCCCCCTCTCCCCATTCCCCCTCTCCCCACTCCCCCTCTCCCCACTCCCCCTCTCCCCACTCGTTCTGCCCCTCCCTCTCACCCCTCTCCCTCGTGCTACCACAAGCAGACCTGAACCGAACGAAGGGCGGCCTGGGGTCAGCCGCGCGCATTCTCGTCTCGGGCTGCTCCGCTGGCGGCTTCCCCGTGACGCGCCTGTGTGACTCCGTGGCGGCCGCCCACCCCAAGGCCAACGTCAAGTGCATGATTGACGGTGGCTTCTTCTTGGGTAAGAGGGCTTCACTCGGAGTGGGATGTGGGACGACAAATCCGCTTGTACTAACTCACACGCGATCTGTTACTCTCCTGGGATCTGTTACTCTGTGGCTTGCCGCCATTCCAAAGGCTGATCAATATGGTTAAAGAGCTGCATTCTAATGGTCGCAACCCTGTGCTAGCACCCACCTTTCTCCCCTATCTCTGCTCCCCCCCTCCAGACGCCAAGGACCGGCAAGACGGGTTCACCTTCAGATCAATCATTCAGAATGTTTCGTCCCTGCATAGATTCACTGACAGCAAGTGCAGCCAAGGTAAGCGATCAACTGTTACTCACATGCACTCACGCAATTTCATACCTGTCCAGTCTCCGACTAATTACTTCATCATTGCGCTGTGTTCTCAGGTATGGAGGCGTGGAAGTGCATGCTTCCTGAATACTCCTTAAAGACAGTCTCAAGACCCGTCTTCATCACCAATGCACTGTTCGACTATACAGCTCTCAAACTGTACAACCAGCTGCGAGACACCACGTATCAAGTCAACAACAGGTGCTTACGGCAAATAATTTGGAGCCAAGGAAGCCTGCAGAAGGCTGTGACGTCCAACCAATGGAAGCCCTTCAATCCCAAGCCCGGAGAGTGTGATGCGACGTCCCGCAGTATAATACAAGCCACAGTCACTGATCTTTTCAATAGGATGAAAAGCAGTGTGGAGGGAGAGAAGAACTTAGTTGGCTTTTTGGCATCGGATTGTGTGGGTCATTGCGTGGCCACCACATCTCAGTGGTTCAGCCCGCCCAGGAACAACACATACATGAAAGATGCTGTTGTAAACTGGTTCAAGGGCAAGCTATTAGGTGGAAAGTTGTACTTTTGATATGGTGTATACCTCTCGTTGCAAGCCTTATTGTACTATGGTTGTTGCTGAATAGTGCTCCTCCATCTCAAAATAGCACTCGTTTACTACTCACCTATCAAGCCTCCTTCCCCAATATCACCATATGTCTAGCCCTTGAGCACTCATGTCTACAAGTTCTAGAATGAGATGCATGAATGGCCCAAGCATAAAAGCGGCAGCAAGTATAAACTTGGGAAGCACCGTGGACAACAGCGGGCGTATTTATAAGAACCTCGGTCCCAGCCCATGTTCGTAAGGAAAATCCCTTTTCCTTATCGAGCACCGCTAACATCGAGTACAGCCCTGACTTTCGGAAGTCCAGGCTCGGCCCGACAATTCAGACTCGAACTATGTTCAATGCCCTAAGCCTGCACGCGGCGTCGCGTCCGACACTTCCGAGTCCCAAGGCGCCCCGAACCACCTCGCGTGTGTTTCGTAACCTTCCTCGAGGCTCTCTTGCTAGGCTAGCTGTGCTTGTATTTAGCCCTGTGCTCCATTTGTACTCGAGACACTTTAATCACGACCTCACTATTGCATTGCTCGACTCCTATCCGGATATTATCATAACAACTGGTATCAGAGCTACGTTCCTGCCCATTTAGGCTTCCGTAGTGAGGTAGTTTTTAGAGGGACCTCGCACGTTAGGAGACAGGAGTTGTCTAGCGGTCGTGCAGGAACTTCTTCAGTTCCGCCGACTTTGTCGTGTGCGCTCCACGTCTCTAACGCTGCAGGTGCCCGTAGTGTCTTTAGTGGCGTTAGCTAGTTAGGGTAATTCATGGTCAATAGCCATCCTCGCCGTAGTATTGACGGCAAATAGCTGTAGCTGGGTTGTCAGAGGCGGCAGCAAGCGCATCCGTACTGACGACGAAGGTTGGCGAAATGATGGCGAAGATGGAGGCCATGGCCCTCGAGCTCGCTGCGTTGAAAGAAGAGAACGTGAGCCTTTGCCAGACGTGTGGTGCGACGCGTCAGGAGTCGCTTGTTACCGTGGACGAAGATCGTGCGAGCGCGCATCAACCGCAGGCAACGTCAGCGACACGTGACGACAGTTTGGGCGAGCAGCAGGCATTTGTGAAGATAAAACCTGCCATGCCCCCGCCGTTCAACCCCCTGGAGAAACACACCACGCTGAGTGGGTGGCTGTTCGCCATGGAACTGTTCTTCAATGCCGCCGACGTCAACTACGATGAGACACGCGTCAAGTTGGCGGTGTCTTTATCACGCGGACCTGCATTACGTTGGTGGCGACAGTACGTGACGTCATATTGGACTCCGGCAGACCGGCAACAGGCGATGGATGGGGAGCGACGATTGGCTTCAACTCCTACATGATCCTTGTATGGTGTGGCCGAGATACTCACCTGGCAACAGTGGGGTGCACTGCTTCGCCGGTGCTTCGGGCATGTATCCGTATAAGAAAACGCTCGTGTGAAGCTGCACGGATGGCGTCAACTAAGTTCTGTGTTGGAGTACACGTCATCTTTCCTCGCCATCTGCGATGAAATCGACGATCTACACGAGACGGAGAAGACAAGTTGATACATCATAGGGCTGAAACCGGAGGTCCAGCGCGAAATTCGAATACGCCGCCCGTCGACGTTCATGGAGGTGCAGCAGGTGGCAGAAGCGTGGGACGAAAACAGTGTATGGCCGAGGGCGAATTTCCAGGAGGGAAGTTGTTTTCGAGGGCAGAACAGTTACCCATCCATCAACGCCATGGCGGCACCGTCAGATAACAGATTTTTTGGCCGGTGTTATAAATGTGGCCATCCGGGGCACATCATGCGGGACTGTCCGGAGTTGCAGAAATCGGGAAATGGACAGCGTCAGTAGCAGTCGGGCCCCCTACTAATGAGGCTTCGTCGCCCGAAGATCAACATTCCCACCGAGTCGTAGTGCCGATCTATGCGATCGACCACACATGGTTAAAGGGGAGTGAACATGTTGACAACCATGTGCTGGTGGAAGGGCACGTTAGCAACACCAGATTAAAAATATTTGTGGACGGTAGAGCATCACACAGTCTGTTCGATGTGACAAGAGCGGAAAAACTGCAACTGCAAATGGAGAGGTGCATGCCCGAGATTGACGCGAGGTTGGTCGACGGCACGCCATTTGCAATACGGGAGCGGGTGAAACACGTTCGCATTAATTGCGATAGCCAAGTCAGTTTCGCCATGAAGATGCTGGCGACAACGTTGGACGGCTGCGATGTACTCCTGGGGCGAGATTGGCTTCGCTCGTACAATCCAAGCATCGATTGGGGGAATGGCGATATTCGTTTAAAGCCCGAGTCTACATTGGTTGGCTATCAAGTTCAGGATTCCTGAACTTGTTTTCGTAAAAGTGAGTAACCCAGTGAAGGGTACCTCCACGTCGCGACCCTCGGGGAAATGGGGCAGCGTGCGAAATTCGCTATTTGAGACAAACCTCGAACTCACTGTTCACTCATACTGAACTTGAAAACGCCTGGTACCATTCTAGACGCATTTTTTGCTGGGGCTCGTGACACGAGAACAGCCGTGTACAGTTCGCCCCCCCTCCCCCAAAGTCGTCACTGTTTGCGAACTGTTGATTGCAAGTTGTTGGGTTTCTTTTGCGTCGCGAGCAACATAATTTTTTCGCAGAGAAATAGTTTTCGCCAGGGGAGCTTTGCCGAAATTGGTTTCGCCCAGCGTTTTTGGCACTGTTTTCATGGTCAGTAAACATGGATTTTTACCATTCTAGACTCGGGCTTTAAAGTGGGGTGGCGAATGGCGACGACTGCCGAGGTGGAAACCACCCGACCCTCAGTCGACCCTAGTGAACAACGTGACGATTAAGTGTGTAATGGCATGTGGCGTGGACGTCTACGCCATCCGATGGATCGCATCAACAGAGGTGGCTGAACAGACCGACCTGGAGAAGCTGTGTGCTACTGTCCCTGAGGACCTAACGAAGATCATGCGCAAGTACGAGAAGATTTTTCCTGATGACCTGCCTCCCGGCCTGCCACCCGAATGACCACACGATCACAAAATTGAGTTGGAACCTAGCGCGCAACCGACCGTCCGATCGCAATGGCGGCTGAGTCAACCGGAGCTAATGGAGCTGCGTACGCAACTGGATTATTTGCTGGAGAAAAGGCTTATCAGACCATCCACGTCACCCTACGCCGAGCCAATTCTCTTCACCCAAAAAAGGACGGAGGTCTACGGATGTGTACCGATTATCGATCACTCAATAACATCACCATCAAGTCCCGTTACCCGATTCTACGAGTGGACGATCTAATTGACCAACTTCGCGGGGCCAGGATTTTTTCAAAGTTTGATCTACGAGGAGGTTACCACCAGATTCTTGTTGCCGTAGCTGATATTCCAAAAACTGCTTTTCGAACCCGTTACGGAAGTTATGAGTATACTGGGGTTCGTCAACTACGTGCGCTGCTTTATCACAAACATGGCGGAGTCCACAGCCCCATTAACCGACTTTCTTCATAAGGGATTTTTTTATGAGTGGGGGGAGAGGCAGCAAGCTGCGTTTGACCAACTGAAAACTTTCCTCGTGGCACCACCCGTTCTTCATATCGCCGATCCCGACCGCCCATACGAACTGGTTAGGGATGCCAGCGACATTGCCATTGGCGTGGTAAAATACAGGACTTTGGCGAAGGCCTACAACCAACCGCCTACGAGTCGCGGAAACTCCAAGGCGCTGAACGGAATGACCCGGTTCATGACAAGGAGATGCTTGCGATCGTCAATGCTTTTAAGACTTGGCGCTGCTACCTATCCGGTGCCGACGTTACTGTCAGAACAGGCCACAAGTCCCTACAATTCCTCTGAGCCCAACCGACCCTCAATCCGCGACAGATTCGTTGGCTCGAATATCTCGAGTCCGATTTCCACTACCGCATCACCTACAAGAAGGGGGCAAATAATGTTGCCGATGCCCTTTCCCGCCCTACTGCCCATACATTCGCCGTACTAATCGCCCAAGCTAACACGCTGCTAAGTGGACTATTTACCCACGGCTACAATACCGATCCTCTCTTCACCTCTAAAGGCCACCAGGCCCTGACCACTCAATGAGGCCACTACCACCTACAGTGACGGAAACAATTGTCCAGATGTTTAGTCTTTTTTTTGCATTTTTAAGAGTGCAGCGGCGTAATCATTAAGCCTTAATTTATGGTGAGCATACACGTTGAGAAGATCAGTTAGAGCACTCATTCAAGTCGCCAAAAACCAGAGTACTATAATACATGGTCCTTAAACACCTAAGCATATCATAAGAGCACATCCGGACAATTTGTATCGAGGACAGGCAGCAAACTAGAATTATGAAAAACTAGTACCTAGTCCAGCGTCCCTTTGCGCGAATCACTGCCTTGATCCTCCTCGGCATACTGTCGATGAGGTTTGAACACACCTCCGCCAGTATCTTGTCCCATTCCTCCTGCACCCTCTCCCACAGCTCCAGCATTCCACTAGGTGGTTTTTCGTACTTCGCCAGCTGCCTTTTCAAGTGTGCCCACAGGTGCTCTATCGGGTTAAGGTCCGGGGAGGACGAGGGCCATTCCAGCACCGCGTACTCCTGCTTCCCCAGCCAGTCTTGCACCAGACGGGACTTGTGCTTGGGATCATTGTCGTGCTGGAAAATGACCTCTGAGGGGGGGAGCTTGAAAAAGTCGATGGTCTGTGAGAGCTCATCTTGCAAGATGCTGCGATACAGCGGCCCATCCATCCTGCCATCTATCTTGCACATGAACCCTGCCCCCTCATACGTCATGCAACCCCACACCATCACAGAACCGCCCCCATGCTTAACTATCTGTTGGAATTGATGGCTCTGGAGGCTGGTGCCCTCGTGAATCCAGGCATACGCACGTCCGTCGGAGCAGAAACGGTTTATCTTAGTCCCATCAGACCAAATCACCCGCTTCCAGTCCTCCAGTGTCCAGTCGGCATGTGACCTCGCGAAATCGAGCCGATCACGTATGTTTTTCGGTGAGAGCCTGGGTTTCTTGGTGTCACAGGATCGAATGTCCCGAGGAAAGGTTTGCTCAATGTTGCACTATCAATCAGTACAAGGTGCTTTTATACTTCCAGAGTACATAAGGTAACCAGGTTTATCCTATCCAAAGGGAATAGACCCTTCTAGAAATAGAATCACCATGCGTATAGCCACGCGAGGGTATTGGCTTTAAGGGATTACGGCAGGATTACGCTAGGTATAGCGCGCCAGTACATCCCGAGCCTAGTCGGTGATAAACCAAAGGATGATGGAAAAGGAGGAATAGGAAACCAAATGAGATGAGATAAAGACCAAATGAATCAGGATCAAAAGAGGAATGAAATAGAAAGGAAATATGGAAAGGGGAAATTGGTGTAACAGGGTCGTACTCTCACACTTCCCCTTCTCAAAGCTGGGTGGTAGAAGTAACACCCTGCTTGACAAGGTAGTCGCGAAGAGGACGACGGGCGTTACCCATGTCGGATTCATGGTTACAGCCTCAGAAGTATCATAACCCTTCCAGCAAAGAAGAAGCTCCAGAGTGCCATTCTGACGACGACGGGCAGCGGCAGTGGCTGGCGCTCGGTGTAGAGCGTGTGTGGTCTTGATAGGGTTTAAGAAGCTGGTATGGAAGGTTTATGGATCTTCCAAGTGGCTGGTAGGCGGAAGCGGAAGGTGAATGAAGTGGCCCTTGCTTCAACGATGATAGACCCGCAGAAGCAAGGTTGAAGCTTGGATGGGAGAAGGCTGATGTCGAAATTACGGTGTGGATAACTGTGGTGATGAGTAGCCAGGTGCTTCTGCTGCTGTTGGATGTCCAAGAGGTGCTTGTGTGGTCGATGTACAAGATGGTGGACGATGGCGATTATATCGGAAGCCAGTTCGACTGTAGCAAGAATCGTCAGTCGCTACGGAGTGAGCGGGCTCCGTCCACAGTAAGGATGGTGTGCATCACCGTCAGTGATATATGGGAAGGTGCAAGTTGTAGTTGGAGACTTGAGTGGTTGGAACAGTGTGCTGTAACGTGCAGATGAATGGCTATGTTGTCTGTTCTGTGCATGCATGAAGATCACTTGTACAGTGGCGGATTAAATTGTCCACATGTTTTGCCTTTTTTGGCATTTTTATGAGTGCAGAGGCGTATACATTAAGCCTTAATGTACGGTGTGCATTAACGCTGAGAAGTTCAGTTAGAGCAGTCACTCCAGTGTTCAAACACCAAAGTAGTACCACACATGGTCCTTAAACTCCTAAGCATAGCATGGGAGAACATGTGGACAATTTGTACCGGAAAATGGTATCACACTAGATTCTAGGAAAACTAGTACCTAGTCCAGCGTCCCTTTGCCCGAATCACTGCCTTGATCCTCCTCGGCAGGCTGTCGATCAGGTTTGCACACACCTCCGGCGGTATCTTGTCCCATTCCTCCTGCACCCTCTCCCACAGCTCCAGCATTCCCCTTGGCGGCTTTTCGTACTTCCCCAGCTGCCTTTTCAAGTATGCCCACAGGTGCTCAATTGGGTTAAGGTCCGGGGAGCACGACGGCCATTCCAGCACCGCGTACTCCTGCTCCCCAAGCCAGTCTTGGACCAGACGACACCTGTGCTTGGGATCATTGTCGTGCTGGAAAATGACCTCTGAGGGGGAAAGCTTGAAAAAATCGATGGTCTGTTTGAGCTCATCTTGCAAGATGCTGCGATACAGCGGCCCATCCATCCTGCCATCTATCTTGCACATGAACCCCGCCCCCTCATACGTCATGCAACCCCACACCATCACAGAACCGCCCCCATGCTTAACTGTCTGTTGGACTTGGTGGCTCCGAAGGCTGGTGCCCTCGCGAATCCAGGCGTACGCACGTCCGTCGGAGCAGTAGCGGTTAATCTTCGTCTCGTCAGACCAAATCACCCGCTTCCAGTCCTCCAGCGTCCAGTCGGCATGCGCCCGCGCGAAGTCGAGACGATCGCGGATGTTTTTCGGTGAGAGCCTGGGTTTCTTGGGCTGATGCACGGCGATCAGCCCCGCGGATCGTAAAGAGTTGCGGACCGTCTTCGAGTCTACGGCGAGATCGTGCTTCTCCAACAACATCTTGGCCGCGTCTGAAGAGCTTTTCGCCTCGCCGCTAGTAATCGCACGTATAACTCCGCGCTGGAGACGGGTTGTGATTAAGCGGGGGCGGCCGGCCGAAGGCATCGTAGGTCGCACCTCCTCGCGACTAGTCTCCTCAGCGAGTTTCATACCGTAATCGTGCACGGTGCTCTTGCCTATGCCAAGAAGTTTCCCTATTTTCCTAGTCGAATGCCCCGCACGCAACATGCTTCTGATCCTCGCGCGCTTCTTCTCATTTAACGGCTTCATAGCGATGCGGTCGTAGGCTCGCTTCCGGACTAACAACTAAGCTAGGAACTGGTGCGCGTGACGATGTACACACTGAGCGACGGGGGAAAATAGATCTACTCTTCCGCTCGGTAGGAAATGTCCACATCGACAGTCGAGTAGTAAATTTCAACCCCACTTTCCGTTAGTGTCACAATCGCGCCAAGCAAGAAACGGATGAAGCAGAACTCAAAAACCGAGTAACAGAATGGAAAAAAACGGGTGTTACTATTTTCGAAACATGTGTTGCATAACGATACGTTTCAAAGTGTTAAACATCCGGGCAATTTAATCCGCCACTGTATCTCGTCCACGCCTGAAGATCACCAAGTGGTGGGGGTATGGCAGTCGTATCGTAGTACGGCTTCTGTAGCAGTGTTGTATCAGATACATGCAGCTTCTGTCGAACTGGTCCATGCCTTAGTGTTGTCGCGAGTCGTACCCACTCGGTATCGTAGTGCTGCAGGATGGAGAGCAGAATCACTAGTAGTAACCCTGTCCACCACGCGGTCTGCTACTCACACTGCCTTGAGTACAACAGCGCATGCGAAGTGCTGCTCAGCGTATCCCTTGTGTTCAGAACCATGCGAGGGGTTGGTACCACAAACGCGGAGCTGGTAACTTCCAGAATCGGCGCCAAAGTAGTTTCCCTCGGTGGTTGTTCAAGCAAGGAATCTCTGCTGCATAGATATCCCACGGTGATGGGTTAGGACATTTGGGAATGTTGGGGCTATTCCCAAATAATCGTCTCCCATTTCCAAATGGCCATTGGTGACAGCCAATCCAGTATGACCTTATGCACTTCCAGTTTAGCACGGAGGCCATCGGTAGGCATCGGTGTCTGGGCGCACATATTGGGATAGGTCTTCTGGTGCCATCATGTGTTGTCTCATTCTGTCACTGTCCTTGAGGTAGCGTTGATGTAGAAGATGTCTCAGCTACTCAGCATCAGTGTTGAAGTCTGCTCCATTTCGGCAAACAGGGGTGTTGTTGGAGATACGCGGAGTCCACTATCCGGAGTGGCGTCGGCGCTCCATTGTACGCCTATCTGCTTCCATGGAGGTGGTGTTGGTGATGGATTGGTTGCGACGCAGGTTTTATGACTTTAAGGAAAGCCATAGGCCATGAGGACTTGTATACCAATAGAGTACCGTGGTCCTCCCATCCTCATAAGAGCAAATATCTTCAGCTCTTGAGGGTGTATGGCATTGCCATGTTGTTTCTTCGCATAGTGGTATCTCCTCCCCACTAGCTGGAAATCATAGTACTGTGCCTGGCCGGGACTTCATGATCATACTGGAATATAATCCAGTGTTATCTCCATTGAGTGGAGAATCATCCATCAGGGTTTGGATATGACTGTTGTGTCGAGTCTTCTGCTGCGGCGGCGGCGGCGGTTGCGACGATGGCGACGGCGGCAGCTGCTGCAGAGAATTCTCTCAACTCGTACTAGTTGAAGGAGAATCCATCAACTCCCTCTTTCCAGTAGAGTGTTCCTGATGGGTGTAACAGGCGTAACTACCAGGAACACGTGCACATTAGTACATATGTGTTGCTCCATTGCTGCCGGTGATTGTTTCATTTGAGGGTATGAAGAGAAATTTGCTTCTCCCCTCAATGTATCCACGGGTAGCAATTCCTGGTATGCTCATCCGTGCCTCCGATGTACGGTCGGTGGAGCGCGTGATCGTCTTGTAGTAGTCCGCATCTCCCTCATTTGTTGACACCTCGTGTTGCTTGGCGTTCTCCAGCATCGTCGAAGTTACGCTGGTGCTTGTAACGCTTCGGCTTCTGGTAGAATCACCTCCAATGCATGTGCCGTAGGGTCGCTAGTGAACGAATACTTGCCGGATTAGAGGTTAATTACTCCTCAATCTGTCAAGCATCGTGACATGCACGGAATTTTCTTCCACGCAGGTCATTAACACCTGGAATCGCGACGCATGATTGGTGTGTCGCCTCGTGAGGTCGATGTTGAGACTGCTCCAATCAATCACCTCGGATGGCTGAGATTCTTGATGAAGACGAATCGTTCAGCTCCTGTTACGAAGTAGTGTCTCGCTGGCCTTGACGAGACAGGTTCACTGCGTCGTCGTTGCGTGCGAAATCTGCTCCTTCGCAGCAACTTGAACTTGGGAGCATTGCAAGAGAAAACGGCTACTTCTCTGCAATCCCATAGCTTGTCAATCAATTTGTATGAAGAAGTGTCTCGTGGATGGAGAACATGTCTTCACGCAGCTCCATTGTTTTTTCTGGGTGAAGATCTCGCTGTGTTGATGTCGATCCATTTTTAACGAAGATGACTTCGTCAAAATAACTCGATCGTTATCGACACCAGTCAGAAGATGCGTCGATTGTGCAGTCGCTGGTCACGAATGTTGTCTCCATGATGATGATTTCCCATAGTGTAGTCTCCGCTGCATTCGTGCCGTTGATTCCGCACCGATCCGACGATCCACGTTCTCCTGTCATTTTTCTGCATGCAGATATTACCAAGTAGGTAATACTCTGGCAGATTTCTGACTTCGCATATGATTTCCGCACCATTTTCGTCACCAAATGGAGGAGTCCGAATTTGGTTGTCCAAATGTTGTCAACGCTGTTGAAGGCGGCCAATTTCTAGTTCTGCGCGTCATTCTCCCTTCGTGCAGAAGTCGCGCTCCATCTCGTCCGTTGAAGTAGAAGTCGATCCGACGGTCCAAACTCCAAGCGATCTGAGGATACTTCTGAGTCGCGTTCAGCAGCTGTCGGTGTCCGGGTGGACTCGTTTCCTGCAGCAATTCTCGGTCGTCGATGTCGGCTGTCGAACGATCGGACGCTCTGAAAAACTTCGCGGCTTGCGAGGTCCCGTTCCCATTCGCGCTGAAACTCGAACTCTCTCAGCAGGATTTCGTTTTCGCCTCGGTCGATCTGAAGCGTCGAATCCCCATCGGACGGATGTCGTCGGTCGAACCTCCGCAGAGTTCCGCGCAACTCCAAGTGTTGTCGCGAACTGCGAACTTCTCCGAATGTCGCAGGGGATGTTCCGCCGGAACTGACGCGCTCGCGAGGTCGAGGCCGTTTGCCCCCGCGAAATATCGGCTCCGTCGATGCAGTCCATCAAACAGTTGGCGAGGCGTCTCGCCTTCGAAGGGGACCCCAGGTGCAACTGCGAGAGGTAAGACGAAACTTAAATGAAAGTGCATTGTACTTACAGGAATTGAAGTTTGGACTCCATCCTCCGCGTGCTCCTGGGGGCCCAGCGGTTAAGCGTTGAGCTGAAACCTTGGCTCTGATTACCAAGTGTCACAGGATTGAATGTCCCGAGGAAATGTTTGCTCAATGTTGCACTATCAATCAGTACAAGGTGCTTTTATACTTCCAGAGTACATAAGGTAACCAGGTTTATCCTATCCAAAGGGAATAGACCCTTCTAGAAATAGAATCACCATGCGTATAGCCACGCGAGGGTATTGGCTTTAAGGGATTACGGCAGGATTACGCTAGGTATAGCGCGCCAGTACATCCCGAGCCTAGTCGGTGATAAACCAAAGGATGATGGAAAAGGAGGAATAGGAAACCAAATGAGATGAGATAAAGACCAAATGAATCAGGATCAAAAGAGGAATGAAATAGAAAGGAAATATGGAAAGGGGAAATTGGTGTAACAGGGTCGTACTCTCACATTTGGGCTGCTGCACGGCGATCAAGCCCGCGGATTGCAACGAGTTCCTGACTGTCTTCGAGTCTACAGCCAGAGAGTGCTTCTCCTCTAACATCGTTGCGGCGTCTACACTGCTTTTCGCCTCCCTGCTTGTAATCGCTCGAACTATTCCGCGCTGGAGTCGGGTTGTGATTAAGCGGGGGCGGCCGGCCATGGGCATCGTGGGTCGCACCTCATCGCGACTAGTCTCGGCAATCACCTTCAGACCGTAATCGTGCACGGTGCTCTTGCCTATGCCAAGAACTTTGGCTATTTTCCTAATTGAATGCCCTTTGTGCAACATGCTTATGATTCGCGCTCGCTTCTTGTCATCTACCGGCTTCATCGCGATGCAGTCGTAGGTTCGCTTTATGACTAACTCCTAGACTAGCAGCTGTTGCTCGAGACGATGTGCACGGTGAGTGACGGGCGAACATAGATTTAGAACGTCGTTCGGTATGAACTGTCCGGATCGACAGCCGAGGAGTAAATCTCAACACCGCTTTCCGGTTGTGTCACAATCGCTCCAAGCAGGATACGGTTGAAGCATAACTCGATAACATTGTAACAGGACGGAAGAAAAATGATGTTACTATTTTCGAAACAAGTGTGGCATAGCGATAAGTTTCGAAGTGCTTAACACCCGAGCAATTTTTTCCGCCACTGTAAAAGCTAGTACTGGCCGAATTTGGGTCCCATCCTACTGACTGTTACAGGAATTACTGATACAGGAGGTTTATGACGCTAATTGCTCCAGGCATTTCGGGGTTGATAAAACATTGAAAATGCTCCAACGTCATTATTACTGGCCGAATGCGAGCCACGACGTGCAGCAATATGTAACCTCATGTCCCATCTGCCAACTGATGAAATCCTCTCGCCAAAAGCCAGCTGGATTGCTGCAACCATTAGAACCACCCACCAAGCCATAGACACACGTGTTCATGGACTTGATGACAGGACTTCCGGCCGGTGCATCCCAAAATGATGCTGTACTCGTGGTCGTAGACCGACTCATGAAAATGGCTCATTTCGCGCCATGCCGAACGACGATCACAGCCGAGCAAACTGCCAAGCTGCTCATCTCAACCGTCGTTCACCTGCACGGAATCCCAAAGGCGATCGTGAGCGATCGTGACCCCCGATTCACATCCAACTTCTGGACGAAAATGTGGGAACAGTACGGTACACGTCTCTATCTGTTCACAGCTTACCACCCATTGACCGACGGCCAGACTGAATGGACAAATCATACAATGGAGCAGCTGATACGGACAATCTGTACCGACTCGACCCAATGGGAAGATTCTCTTCCCTTAATGGAGTTCGCATATAACAACGCCCCTTCGTCAATGACTGCCCAATCACCGTTCTACCTGAATTACGGTCTAAACCACACGACCCCCATTACACCGTTAATTAAGAGCCCTGCCCCACGATCGCAAAAGTTCGCCAAGGACTTACAGACAGCAGAGAAAAACGCTACCGAGGCTATTTCAAAAGCCAACCTTACGGCCGAACGGTACGCGGACAGGCATCGACAGGATTTACCCTTGTTTCCTGGGCAACTAGTCCTCCTGGACACCAATAACTTGGGGCTGAATTTACCACATTAACTCTGCCTGAGATTTTGTAGACCCTTCCGCATTGTCCGAATGGTGACACCTGTCAACGCCAAGTTACTACTACCGGACGACTGGGGTATCCACGACTCATTCCACGTCAGTCTCCTTCGACAGTTCATTGCAAACACGGCTGATCCCGACCGTCAACGACTCTATCCTTCGATCAGACCCGTCCCTGAGCCAACCACCGAACCACAGCAAATCCTCTCCCACCAAATTCGCCAAGACCAAGGTCAACGGGTTTTGGAATTCCTGGTTCGATGGGTTGACCGTACGTGCGACGATGACATGTGGGTCCCAGCTGCTACCCTCGACAACCACCCATTGGTGCATGTCTATTTACACGATGTGGGCAGTCTCGTCTAGGAGGGGGGAAGGTGTAAGGAAGATCCCTTGTCCTTATCGAGCCCCGCTAACATCGAGTACAGCACTGACTCTCGGAAGTCCAGGCTCGGCCGGACAATTCAGATTCGAACTACGTTCGAGAACCCAAGCCTGCACGCGGCGTCGCATCCGACACTTCTGAGTCCCGAGGCGCCCCGAACCACCTTGCATGTGTTTCGTAGCCTTCCTCGAGGCTCTCTTGCTATGCTAAGCTAGCTGTGCTTGTATTTAGCCATGTGCTCCATTTGTACTCGAGACACTTTAATCACGACCTAACTATTGCATTACTCTACTCCTATCCAGAGATTATCATAATAATGTTACTATCACCACATGTTAAATGCACATTGAGGATTCAATTATATTTTCATTTCACTTCTCCATATGGGACAAATGGTCAGCTGAAATAGTGCACTTGTGTTTACTGTTCTGCTCTCGCGGGTTCGCTAACGATGAGGACTTATTTCCATATAGAATCGGGGACGCGATGCGCGGTGTCTTATTCCCGCCTTTCAATGCGAGGCGCAACGACCCCGAGAAGCCCACGCCACTCTTTGAACCTTGTCAAATGCCGTGGAGTGCGCCACTTCTCTAGGATTTTCCCGAAGCGCAATTCGAATTTCCGCTGTCGAGACGCGGGCGTAGGACGAAACAAGGCAGGCGCAGCTGACCAACTCTCTCCAAACACACAACCAGACAAGCCCAAGTATGGGCGAAAATTTACCTTACGGGAATTGTTGCGACGGAAGGTATTTTTTTCCGGAAACCAACCAATGATTGCCTTTCCAAAAACCGTAACCGATGCGACGAAATTCTCAACACCACCTCGAATTTGTCGGATTTCGCAGTGGGAACTTCCCCAGTTTCCCACTTTCGCCCGCCTTGAGAACTGCTGATGGCCGATTATGGGATGGCCATACCATCAGGGCGACAGGGATGGTGTGCCGCCGCTATGGCGTGATTCAAACTCTCACAAGCACATCCAAGCGCGGCACAATAAGCGATTGATCCCTCCTGTGTCGGCCACAAGGCCGATCTTCTTGACCAAGCAGCCTACTAGCACGGAAAGCAGTCCTTGTGACCTTCGCATTATCTACGAGGGTTGCTTGTCTATAATCATAGCGATTCATCAGCACGTACACGTTGCCCTGCCAAATCCTGTCGGCCCTGCCCTCCCCACCGTCCTTGCATAGTAGTCGTACGATCTGAGTTCGAACGGATCCGTTTTCGGCAGTGTGCTTTGAAAGCGAGTGGTTACGTATAGTGTATAACCAAGAGGTCGTCAACATGCCCCCTCCATAGAGTCTGATGAGTTGAGACTCTACGAGTCCAGACCGCGTGTCCAGCGCTACCGCTGAGAGACTAAGTGATAGCCATGGAATGACGCGGCCTTTCTATGTTATAACTTCCCTGCTCCAGGCGACGCTGCTCAATTACGTTGTTTAAGAGACGCTGTCTACGGTTCGGGCGAAGCTTTGACTCGCTAGAGCTCATTGCCGATCTGCTTGCAACTTTGGAGTAGACATTAGCCGGACCTAACACATTAGTAAATGGCAGCGGCGACCTTTTTAGCAGTAGCGCTTCTAGCGCAGGTGTCAGCCGCCGCCGCCGCGTCAGCGAGCGCGTCGTCGATGGGTCCGATCCCTTCGGGCGTGGCGAACACGAGTCTTTACCTCCTCCCCAACAACGACCTCGGCGCGAAATGCCTCGACGGCAGGTGAGGGGCAAGCTAGGAGGGAGGGTGAGAGCAGCTCTCAATGGCTGACAGATGGTAAGGAGTCGGGTTCTCACCCGGCAGGTGAGGAGCGACAGGGGATAGAGGGGAGATAGAGGAGGGTAGGTGTGCGGCGACCGAGGTGAGTGCCCGCACGTGGCAGGACCTTACGATGTCGCGCCATGGCAGCCAGAATGACGTGAAAAGAATCGCTGGACCCACACACCGTAGCGCCCCCCAGTGCGTATCCGTCCACCGAAGCTTATACTGCATGGGCGTACACACATCGGCACAACAGAACGGCCGCTCTCGCGTTGACGCTGTCCGTGGCTGGATCCCGAGCCTTCTTGCCTTCTACCGCTTACCGTGATTGAATGCGAAGGGACAGAAGGGCCGTCCGCTTTGTTAGTAGCGTTAGCCCCGCCTATCGGCCTGTGCGGCGACGCTTCAGTCGCCAGCTACGATGACGTGTCAGGCATTCGCTAGCTGCTCTCCGTCAACACTCCTCTCTCGTTCAATATCCCGCCGGTTCGCGAGTGCGCCACCCGGCTCTCACCTCCGCTCACCCCCCTCCCCCGCCACCTTCCCCCGCTCCCCGCTCCCCAGCCCCCCCGGGTACTATTTCCGCCCAGGCTTCGGCAGCGTCGCCAAGTCGTGGCACATCTACCTGCCCATCGGCGGGTGGTGTTAATGACTCTTCAACCTGCGCCACTCCCCCCCCCACCCCCCCCCCCCTCATCCCCGCCCCCCCCCCCCCCATCCCCGCCCATCCCCCTCCTCCCCTTCCCCGGATCCCTCCGCCCCAGCCCCCCCGGGTACTACTTCCGCCCGGGCTTCGGCAACGGCGCCAAGTCGTGGCACATCCACCTGCCCATCGGCGGTTGGTGCGCGACGCTGGAGGACTGCGCGGATCGCGCGCGCACGCCGCTGGGGAGCACGCGCATGCAGGGGGACAAGACCTGGCGGTGGTCCAAGTTTCTAAGCAAGGGAATGATGAGCCCCAAGGCGAAAGCGAATCCACTGTTTTTCAGCTGGAACTTCGTAATGCCCGTGTACTGCGACGGAGGAGGGTTTCAAGGGAAGGCGGGGTTGAGAGCGGTGGAGGGCGGTTCGTCCGTGTACCTCGACGGCCGGAAGGTCCTTCGCGCGATTTTACGAGGTGAGAAACTGTCTGCTTTGTCCCAGCTCCAATGGCATATGGCATAGGATGCTCCATGAGCCCTAGTGGCATATGCTATCAGGACGATCTACGCTCCAAATTGCACTTGGCCCCATGGTGCATGAAACTCATCAGGAGGGCTATTTTACGCTATCGATTTCCCCCCTGTCGATTCCCATCCATCCTCCGGCGCCCCTTGCTCTGGCAGATCTGATGACGACACGTGGCATGTCGTCGGCCTCCCAGCTGCTCCTCTCGGGAGCCTCGGCGGGCGCGCAAGCGGTCACGACCTTCTGTGACTATATCGCGGGGCAGCTGCCGGGCGCCACCACCAAATGCCTAATGGACTCGGGCGTGTTTATTGGTGAGCCTATTTCTGAGGGTGTATCGTGATCTCTTACCATTTGTGACTGTATCGCGAGAACACACTCCCTCCCTCAACACGTCCCACCCCTGTTTAACCTGTCCTGTGGACCTGCCGACGTCAACCAACCAACTCTCCCCTCCCTCTCCTCCCCCCTCCCTCCCCCCCGGCCCCCTTCCCCTTCCCCCGTGAATTCCCCCCTTGGCGGATGGCAGACGCGCGCGACCGCAAGGGCGGGCGGCGGTTCCGCTCAGTGGCGCAGAAGCTGGTGGCGGTGCACCAGTTCCAAGGCAGCGACCGCTGCAGCGCGGGTGAGGGCGTTCCCCCTCCCCCTGATCCCTTCCCCACTGGTGTTTCCCGCTCATCTTGGCTTGCATTCCCGTCACCTAGCCTCTCCCACCTCGCATTCCGACCCCCCTTACATTTCTTCCCCCCCTCCCTCCCCTCACATTCCTCTCCCCCCTCACATTCCTTTCCCCTTTTTCCCCCTCACTTTCCTTTTCCCCCTCATTTTCCTCCCTCCCCTCACATCCCCTCCTCCCCTCACATCCCCTCCTCCCCTCGCATTCCTTTTCCCCCTCCCATTCCTTTCCCCCTCACATTCCTCCCCCCCTCACATTCCCACTTCCTTTCTACAATGCCCCGCACATTCCTCTCCATCACACCTCCTCCCTCTCCCTCCCTCCCCTCCCTCCCCTCCCCCTCGCGACTCCCCTCCATCATGCTTCCACCCACACCCCTATCAGATAACTCCTGCATGCAGTGGCGCTGCTTCTTTCCCCTCAGCACTCCCCTTCTCATACCCCCTCGCCTCATCCTCCCTATCCATCTCCCTGCGCTCATAACTCCCCCCCTCCCTCCCTCCCCCCCCCCCCCCCCCCCCCCCCCTTGTTCCCCCCAAACCTCCCTCACCACATCCCCATCAGAGTACAACTCCAGCACGCAGTGGCGCTGTTTCTTCCCCCAGTACTCCCTCCGCTTCGTCTCTCGCCCAGTCTTCATTGCCAATTCCCTCTTCGACCGCCACGCCGCCGTCATTGGTAACCAGATGCCACTTGATTTCACATACGCCGACACATGTCTTTCGGAGCTCCTGGCACAGCCAATCACAGTCGGCCAGCTTCAGAGCGACAGCATGCGCAGCGCCATCCCTGTCGCACAGAAGCCGATGCAGCACTGTACAGATGCAGAGAGGGATTCGGTGCTTTCCGTTGCGGTGAATGTGCTGAAGACTGTGGAAGACTATGTGAAGGCCCACCCACAATCGGCGGCGTTTATGCCGGGGACTTATGATCACGGGTTCACTTTTGTGGGCCTTTGGAATAAGATGAACGTGAAAGGGGCCAGGTTACGAAATGCTGTTACAGCATGGTACAGGGGGACGGGGCTCAAGAGCAATCTAATTTATTCATAAGGTGGATCTATGCATTATGAGGTGTCCATGGAACACGCCTTATAGTGGTGAATGTTGCTGTTAGTTGCAAGGCTTGGTGTTGTCGATTTAATAGGCATGGTTTAGCATTCCTGCAATGATTTGGAGTTAGCGACGAACTAGAAGCATTTCCCTACAATAGCAGTACATATTGTTTTTAGAAAGCACAGCTGTTAACCATTGTGCTAAAAGGGCTTCAGCCTGTGGCCCCAGCGGGTAGGCAGAGTACTTGGCATTTGTGCAGTGCACTTTATTTGAATTCTAATTTGAGACCTTTGGCTCTGATACCATCTCAGAAAGCACAGCCGCTAACCACTGTTCTGAAAGGGCTTCAGCCTGTGGCCCTTTCGAGGGTCTTATAGGGCGACCCCAGCGGGTCTCTTGACAATTGTTAGTCGTTGAGCTTGCACATAGGTGCAACATTGCATGTGCTAGAGTCCTTACAACAAAGTGTGTAAGTAATACCATACTTATGATGCAAAATTCGGACCTGTGTAGTAGTGAAGTAGTTTTATGTAGCGAGGCGGGTAAATCGCGCTTTTGAAAGTGGATTTCGGATCTCCAATGAATCAGAATGTGAGTCAGCTTCTGCCGTTGCCAGATCAATTCCAGCGTCATCTGCTCCTTCAACGAATCACATTCCTTCCTGACGGGTTCAATCACGTGCAACATCTTTGTCGATTGTATCATTGCAAATGTTGGAAGTGATCATAGCAGCAAAATATTTCGGGCAGCTGAGGTTTAATCGAATTCGATTTCGATCGAAAATTCTATTTTCTAACGGCAAAAAACAGTAAGTGTCAGCTCACTTCGGGTCATGGATTCGACATCTCGGATCAGCACACATGAGTAGCTGTGCTGATGTGTACAGCACTTCAACACTTTGTGTCAAGAGAGCTTGACACTTGCTGGGAATGCAACCTAACCCCTTGCTGGGTGTAAGGCTGCTGCAACCAGAGTAGGCATAAAAAGCATTCCCTCTGGTCTGCATGGTAGAAACACTCGTCCGACGTCAGCATTCTCGGTTGTGGCTCCCTGTCATTCGGCCAGCCACCTCGGGAAGATTTTCGGATAAGGTGTGGTCGTGCTTCACTCGTCGTCAATCTGGGAGGCGCGCATGCTTCCGCGAATGACTGTTTGCTCCCCCGCCATCATCCCCCCCAGCCGCACCCTTCCCTCATCAAGGGCTTCATTTCATAGCAGTCATGCGGTTTGGCGCATGCCCTTCCTCCACCCCGGAGTCCGCACCCCGCACCCCATCCGTGGCTGCAGTCGAAAGATATCCTCTCCCCTGCTTCTCCGCATTATGGTGCTCCGCGTATCAACGGGTTGGCGGGGCAGGGGAGAGCAGAGCAGACCACCGAAGTTACTGTACGACAGGTCAAGGTCATCACCAGCACAAATCGGGTTGGATTGGCTGGGTGGGCTTGGCTCGGCTGGTACTGTTCAGCACCAACCTGGTCCGTGCAGTCGTTTCTTTCGTTCGTCCTGCATTGGTTGCATTGCATCCATTTTCGCCTAGTTCCCTTCCCCCTCTTCCCCCTCCACGCTTCCTCCACGCCCCGCCGCTATTGCTGCTGTCAGTTTCGCCACCATGGCCTCGTTTCCTCCCGTGCCCTTCCTCCCTCGCACGATTCTCAATTCGCCTTGCTAACCATCTTGCAAAAGGTGCTGCGCCAGAAACATCTCACTCACTTTAGACATTCCACTTGCCACACGAGGGAAAACGAGGATAACTGACAGGGAATATCTTCTCTCCAGGATTCCTTGGCTAGCTCCTCGCCTCGGCCTCCTCGTCTCTTCTAGTGAATAGTAACTCGTCTTACCTAGAACCCACCTGGACGGCTATGCGCGTCGCCTCCATTCGCCTCTCAGTCGGCTACTGAGCCGCACGTTGCTTACGACGGTGACGGTGGCGTGGCCGAACTTGAGGTTGAACTGGACGCCGTAGGTCGCTCGAGTCTCGAGTCTAGCGCACCGAGCGTAATACAGGCGGACAGCTCAGCCGCTCGCGTCTCGTTTTCTCGGTTGCTCGAGCCTCGTTCCTCAGTCGCTCGCGTCTCTCCGCAGCGCGCTTACCAGTGGATGAAGCCGTCAGGGAGCTTGTCGCCGTCGTCGGCCGCCATGTGTAAACGCGAGGGGGGGGGCGACGCGTCGAGGCTGTCGGAGAGCGAGAAGGAGAAGACGAAGCTGCGCGAGCGGCAGCGGCGCGCCATAACCACCAAGATCTTTGCCGGCCTGCGCAAGTACGGCGGCTACAACCTGCCCCCGCGCGCGGACATCAACGACGTGCTCCGCGCGCTCGCCGCGGAAGCCGGCTGGGTCGTCGAGGCCGACGGCACCACCTACCGCTCCCCCGTACGCACCGCGACCTTTTCCCCTTGCGCATCCGCCTTTTCCACCGTTTTCTACACCGCTTTCCACGCGCGTCCACCGCCCTGGTCTTAGTAGCCTCCCTCGTGGCCCCTGTACCCGTCACAGCCGTAGACCATGGGGGTCTAGCGTTTAGCTGTTGCTGGTTTCCCAGCCGCTTACTACTCAGGCGCTTGGCCGTTTCGCGTTGCCCATATTTACACTATCCTTACGCTACTCTTCCTTCCCTCCCTTTCCGCCCTTCCCTTTCCTTCCCTCCCCCCCCCTTCTCTCCCTCCCATTCGCTCTCTCTTCTTCCGCCAGGGGTCGCAGCCACCCACTCGCCACTCGTCGCTTCACAGTCGCACGGCGGCTGCGATCGCCGCTGGCTCGCTCGCCATGTACCCGCCGCAGCAGCAGCCGCAGCTAGCGCCGCAGCCGCAGTTGACGCATCTACAACCGTCCGCGCATCTGCCGCATTCCGCGCACCCGCATGCGCTTCCCCAACTCGCCGCGTCGCCGTCAGGCGCAACCCCATCCGTTCTGCCCATGTCGCCGCGCGAGGCTTGCTCCTCCGCTCCGCTCGCCGGCTCTCCGCCGTCCACCGGCAGCCCCGCGCTGCTTCCCCGCTCATCCCCGCCTACCGTACCCGCTTCCGCTGCAGCGTCCGGCAGTGGCGCGGCGGGGGGAACCGGCGGAGGTATGGCAGGCGGAAGCATGAGTGGCGCGGGCATGTGCGGAAGCGGAATGATGGCGGGGATGAGCGGGTTCGGCCTGCCCGGCGGCTTCCCCTCTATGCACCTTCCGCACGGCATGCTTACGCTCATGCCGCATCCGCCAGGCACTTCCGCCGCCGCTGCGGCTGGCGGAATGAGCGCGTTTGCCATGGGCATGGGGCCGGGCGGGATGGGCACGGGTATGAGCGGGGGCTTAAGCGCAAACATGGGCGCGGGCACGGGTCTGAGCGCGGGGGACATCAAGATGGATGTTCACGGCGGAATGCTGATGGCGGGGACGAATGCGGCGGGCGGAAGCAGCGCGTGCATGATGGGCATGCTGGGGGGCGCGGGGGATCCCATGGCTGCTGCCGCCGCGGCGGCCGCGGCTGCCGCAAGTGGCGGGGGAATGGGCGGCGGAATGGGCGGCGCAATGATGCTTCTCCCCGGATTTCACTCGTTGCCCCATGGCGCGGGCTCCGCTGCTGCGGGGGGAAACATGGGCGGGATCATGGGGCCCCTGGGGGAGCTACACATGGGCGGAGGGTTGCTGAGCGGAGGGGGCGGGGGGAGCACTATGCTAGGGGCGGAGGGGGAGGTATCGCTGTCCCCGTCGTCTGATATCACTCTGTCCGCATCCATGGTATCCTCGCTACAAGCAGTCGCAGCCTCTCAACACCAACAGCAACAACAACAACACTACGAAGCCCACCAACAGCAGCAGCAGCAGCAGCAGCAGCAACTCCAGCAGCACCAGCATCAACTCCATCAGCAACATCAACAGCAGCAACAACACCTGCACCAGCAGCAGCAGCAGTATCACCATCAGCTTTCGGCTGCTGCTGCTGCTCATGCTGCTGCGCATGCCGGTGCTGCTGGCATGCCTGCTGGGCTCGCAGGCATGGCTTCAGGCACCACTCGCGGGCAGATCGCCGCCCGCCCATAAATACTCTCCCCCCTTGTCTTGTCGTAAGACGGCCACGTTCGATGGAACACCTTCCCTGGGTGTCAATGTCATCCCATACCAAGACACTCTTGTTGGAAGGTACATCTGCTGGGCTGTGTCACTCTTCTCAGGCGTACCATGTGCGGCTGCACATGCTTCTGCCTGCTCCCCACGTTTACAGCAGGGCAAAGAGCCCGACCCAGCGTTGCCTCCCCTTTCTTTTAATCCTTTTGGTTTGCCTAACGCTTTTGATTTGCTGCGTTTTTGTGTGCATAGGAGTGTGCGTAGGATGTGTGCATAGGATGTGTGGCTCTAGGGTGCCATGCCATCAGCAAGTGTGAAGTCAGTTGTGTGAAAAAGAGCAAGCCAACAGTGGCTTGCTCTGTGTGCCTCAGTTTACAGCCGCAGACTCTTTCGCGGTTCTCAAGTTTGCTTGTGTGCGTTTCCAAGTGTGTTGATGGAAATTGGTGGTTGCAATTCTTTTGTTGCGTTGGTGAGTAAGTAAACATCTTGAAGTGCACCGTGTAAACATCTTTTGTGCAACGTTTCCAACCTGAGGAAATACCGGAGGTTGTAGCGCAGCCCTGGCTGCTGAGCACACGCCTACTCAGTTGAGAGTTTTCCTGAATCAAAGCTCCGGAATTCAGAATGCAGTTGTACTGATTTATCCTGTTAGTTTCACCAGTTCTGCCTGTAAGGTTCCTGGATTCGCGAGCTCCAGCCATGGGCTTCGCGTCGTTCATCGGTCGAGTCTTCTTCTCCGCCATTTTCATCCTCGCAGCATGGCAAAAGTGCGAACTTGTATTTACCTCTGACTTATTTCTCCTTCGCACAAGTCAGAGCTCTGTCGGAGCTCCGTGGTGATCGATTCCACTAACTCTGAAATGCCGATCCACGCTGACGCAGATTCAATGATTTCGGTCCCGATGGCGGTCCCGCGCTGAAGAACATGGCTCCCAAGCTGGCGACGTTTCAAGGTCACTTGGAGAACTCGTTAGGTCTCTCGGTTCCGCATGTTGATGTGAGTACCACGAAGTTTTCGGCTAGTGTCGAAGTGAATGTTCGTCTCTGTGCTGCCTCGAAACGTACGTGTATTTGGAAGCGTCGTTGACCGACATCGTGATGTTTCCAGGCGTTCTAGATTGTACGCATGTGTTTCCGCCACAAGGGATTATTCAGTAGTAGTCTAAACATTCTGTTTGCGCACATTCTTCCATTGCGTTTCGTCGGGGCTATCCACTACTTAATGCGTGTGCTTGCAGCCTAAGATTCTTCTCCTAACAGCGATCGTGTTGGAAGGAGTGGGTGGAATTCTATTCACGATCGGAAGCAGTCTGGGCGCATATTTCCTGGTACGTCCTGACAAGTACATTGAAGTGAGTTGTCTCCAGCCCAGGCGCCTTGAGTCTCCTCGGGTCACGCTATCTTACTGCTTAGCGTTTGAGAATCAACAATCTTCTCCCTGCTCGTCTTCTCAACCGGCATCTATGGTCTGTCGTGACAGGATTTCTCTTAGCCCTACTCGTTCGCCTATCGCTTTTCTGACCTTGCTTCTCAGTCTTTTCCTGATCGCCTCCATCCATTTCTTCCCCCATCTCGTCTCCCATCTGACCACCCTGCTGCCGTACCACCAGCTGCTATTCCTGGTGGCCGTCACCCCCATCATGCACGACTTCTACAACTTCAAGCCTGACAGTGCAGAGTACATCCACGAGTTCATCCAGTTCCTCAAGGTAACCTCCATGCGGCTAGTCTCTCAGTTCCTCAAGGTTAGCCTCCTTGCAGCAATTCTCTCAGTTCCTCAAGGTGCTATTTCTATTTCTGGCGAGAGTTTATGTGTCCTTTATGTCGTCCACTCAGACGCTTATCTCGGCCTGTCCTGATGGCAGGAAATTGAATATTGTTGTATAATTCATGAATGCGCCGACATTAGGAACATGTGTGATGCATGGCTTTCTTGTATTCACCACCTCTACTTGTGCTCCGATGTGTCCCTTACTGCTACTACCGATGCTGAACCTGTGCTCTGCCTGTGCAGAACCTGTCCCTGCTGGGAGCACTTCTGGTGTACCTTGGAATGCGCAGCTCCGCAGCCAAACTTGCATCCAGGAAGCGGAAAGCCCCTGCCAAGTCCAAAGTCAGCTGAACTCGTGAATCCTGAGCAACAGTAAAAGCACAATGCTGGCGCGGCCTGTTAGCGCCTGCGTGGCACCTTAAGTGCATTCGCATCCTATGGTCCTTAGGGATTTGGGCTGTCATCGGATGACGAGAATACTGTATGTGCTTCACACACTAACATGACTTGCAAAGCTTGGTACGCCCACCAGTCCTGGAAAATGTCTGCATCAGATGTGGGTGGTGCGGAGCGGAGAGAGGGTCCACCCAACTTGTTTCAAGATGAGGGGGGGAAAGCAGGGCACCTGCCTTACCATGAAACTTACCTTACCTCTAGCCTTACACAACTGTAGCAATGACGTGGACAGAGAGTGACCTGTGTGGAAGAGGGAGGCAAGGGAAGAGTAAGGGTCATGAAATTCTCATCACAAACGAGGAGAGATGCGCAAGGAAAGGAGAGAAACCACTTCGGCAGCATGGTGGCCATTACTGTTTGCAGCAGGTAACCCAACAAAATTTCCGCGCCAGCAAGGGGTCGAACCTTGGACCTCTCGCTTAGGAAGCGAACACTCTATCCACTGAGTTACAGGCGCTGACAACTGTGCAATCAAATTTATAATTAATCCATTAATGTTAAGGAAATTATGCCGGCCTGTGGCCTTTGTCCGAAAGAAAAGCTAGCCTTGCCTGTGGGGGAGGAGGGATGAGGTGATGGGGAAATAGCAAGGGAATAAGGGCGTGAGAGAAGCAACAGCCAGAACAAGGACGCAACGCGAGCATGCGAGCACACAAACACAAAATCGAGTCAGCCTAACACGAGACCTAGACAGGACGTGGCGCACACAACTCAACGCCTGTGTGCCATGGGCGGAAGGGGGGGTGCGGGGGGGAAAGGGAGAGAGAGGGGGAACAAACGTGAGGGGTTTGCAGGGGGTTTGGGGGAGCGAGTGAGTAGGATGGGAAAGAGTGAGCGGGATGAGATGGTGCACGCGACTAGATCGAATCAAGGGGGGCAAGGGGTGGAGTGCTTATCTCAGGAGGACGGAGTGCTAACCTCGGGAGGGCCAAGGGGTGGAGTGCTTATCTCGGGAGGTCCAAGGGGTGGAGTGCTTATCTCGGGAGGGCCAAGGGGTGGAGTGCTTATCTCGGGAAGGCCAAGGGGTGGAGTGCTTATCTCGGGAGGGCCAAGGGGTGGAGTGCTTATCTCGGGAGGGCCAAGGGGTGGAGTGCTTACCTTGGGAGGGCCAAAAGGTGGAGCGGGCAAAAGGGGAGAAGAGCTTATCTCGGGACCAAGGCGTTGGAGACAGAGGAAGCAGCAAGGGCAGTCCACATGTCGCTGCTGTCAGTGCTGCTGGCCTTGCAGCTAGTCCTGCTGCCACCGCTGCTCCCACTGATGCTGCCAATGGTGCTCGCTCTTGACTTGGGGTGAAAGTACATTATTAAATGCAAAAACACCACCCTGGTCGTAACCGGATCCAGAGGGCCTAGGTACAGTTTCGTGTACCGTACCCTCCCAGGAAAACTAAGGGGGTTTAAAAACCAAATGCCTAAAACTTTTGTCTTGCCCGATTGGGGTTTGACTTGCAGCGTCGCCTGTTCTCAGGTTTTCGTGAATTGCTCTTGGTCTTTCTAGCTGAAAATGGTGAGAAAGGGTTACATCAACTGTTTCTTCGATTCGGGAGCGGTAGAAAGTGGTTTCCGCAGCAGTTGGGTTCAGGTGCTCTGTTGGAGGTAGGTGTTCAAATTATATGAGTTATAATTTAATATAGGCTTGGTAGGTTGTTACTGAACCTTTCTGTAGGGGGTACAAACCTCTCCTTGTACTCCTCTCTCTTCCTAATCCAACTCTCTTCTCTCTCGACACTCTTGTCCAGCTCCTAACTAAACCCCGCCCCCACATTCATGGCTGCCTTGTTCCTGCCTAGTATCCTAGCCTAGAGCTATTTTAACATGGTATCAGAGCGGGACGCCCTTCCTGGGCCTGCTCCCCTCCATGCTTTCGCTGCGTTCTCGTTCACTGCCTTCCAACTTCCTGCCGCCGTGGCAGCTTCTCCGAGATGCCGCGGCGGCTTCTTTTAGTGCCGCCGTGGCGGCCATGCCCGTTCCTGCCGTGCCGTCGCGTCGTGACGCGTGGCGTCGATGCCACACTGCTGCGACGGCGCCGTGCATACCGCCGCAGCGGCGACGTCCCACCGCTGCATCGACGCCTCGATGTGTCGGTGTCATAATGCTGCCGTGGCAGGGTCGTCGGACGGCAGCTTGCCGCGCGACGTTTGTGTTGCCGCCACACCTGCTGCCTGCACGCCAGCCTCAAGCGTGAGGCTGGACCATGCCCCGCCCCCCTTCCATTGTGTCCTGTATCTTGCCGCAGCCGACGGCTGACTCCTGTCGGCCGTCCCACCGTCCTGGGGCCTGGCCACGTCACCGAGAGGTGCGGATGCCGCCGCCGCCGCTGTTGTCGAAGCTGCCGCCGCCGCCGCTGTCGCCGCTTGCGTCGGGGCCACGCAGCCGCACGCCGCTGCCGCTGCCGCTGTCGACACTGCCGCCGCTGCTGCCGTCGCCGCCGCAGCCCCTGCGGTCGACGTCGCCGCCTCACGCGCCGTGGGGTCGACCGACCTAGTGTCGCTGTCACTGTGGCTGGGATGGGGGTGTGTGGTGTGTGGGGGTGTGAGTGGGCTTGACACTACCAAGCCTAGGGGCTGTGTTCAAATTATATGAGTTATAATTTAATATAGGCTTGGTAGGTTGTTACTGAACCTTTCTGTAGGGGGTACAAACCCCTCCTTGTACTCCTCTCTCTTCCTAATCCAACTCTCTTCTCTCTCGACACTCTCGTCCAGCTCCTAACTAAACCCCGCCCCCACATTCATGGCTGCCTTGTTCCTGCCTAGTATCCTAGCCTAGAGCTATTTTAACAGTAGGTGGGGCGTTGTCACAGGGAAATTGCCGAAAATTCTCAGTGGATTGAGGTGACGGGAGATTGCAGCATCTTCAGCTTCTGTTCCCAGTCTCTCTCATCGGAATACGTTCCCAAGCGGACTCTGCTGTCGTAACGAAAGTCTGATTGGATTCAGGACTGAGCCCAGGAAAGTAATCGCCGCAGGCTCTCCCCGTGAATGCCGGGCCATGTTATTTTCAGATCTCTCTGTAGTATTTTGCCAAATGAGATCGGCGTCTTCCATCTTCATAAAAATCTCTTGTAGATCCTTAACTTCGGGATCCACCTAGGTCATTAGTTGAAATTCTTGGAACTTCCCAATGCCTCCATTGTCAGGAATCATTTTGGGAAAAATAACTTCATCTTCAATTTCTTCAACAACCATGCTGGAAGTGGACACTCCTTCATGCTCCTTTAAAATACTGGGTTGTTCCCTTTTGAAAAAATCTTTCAGCACATCTTCAGGCAGGGTCAGATCATAGACACTTGCTTCTGTCGAATCTGGATTTGCTTCGGTTGCTTCTGGAGCATTCTTGGTCTTCTCACGTCGAGGGTCCGTCCATGGTAGCAATGGCTTTTCTCGATTCCGTATGACGTTCTCAGAAACTACTTCTTTATTTGTCCTGCATACAGGAAACCCCGTATCACCGCTTGTGTTGCGTCGTCGGTAACTCTCGCTGGTAGGTGCTATAGGAAAAAGTAGAAATCTCATGGATGTTAGCCCATTAACTTCAGATGACTTAACCTTGATTATGATCTTCGTTGCATAGTAAGTTGACCAAATGTTCTCTGTTTGAACACGAAAAGTAGGTCGTTATATCCACGCTGACGAGACAAGGAAGAATCTTTTGTTGGATGTCACAACTGATGACCTTTGAGCTGACATTGTCGGGGTTGAAGTTCCTGACAGCAACCATGGCGGTCGTGAAACTGAGGAAAGGCGAACGGCTGGTTGGTAGTAGCCTAGCTTCCTGATGCTTGAAGAAGCAACAAGCTGTCAGGGGAAACAAGCTGAGAATGAAGAAGAAGTAGCCTTTTCCGCTGTAACGCGCGAGTATTCCTGCTCGCTCTTTAAGAGCCAGCTCAACCCTCTAACCCACTTAACCGCTAGCCCACAGACCAGCTGACCTGCTGACCCGCTAACCCCCTGCTGACCCGCTGACCCGCTTACCCCCTCACCCGCCAACCCGCGAATCTGCTGACCCACTAAACTGCTAACCCGCTGCTGACCCGCTAACCCGCTGACCCCCTAACCCGCTAACCCGCTGACCTGCTAACCTGCTAACCCCCTGCTGACCCGCTAACCCGCTCACCCGCTGACCTGCTTACCCGCTCACAGGTCGACCCACGAATCTGCTGACCCGCTAAACTGTTAACAACCTGCTGACCCGCTAACCCGCTGACCCTTTAACCCGCTAACCCGCTGACCGGCTAACCGGCTGACCCACTGACCCACTGACCCGCTAACCCACTGACACGCTGAGCCGCTAACCCACTGACCCACTCACCCACTTACCTGCTGACCCGCTAACCCGCTAACCCGCTGCTAGCCCGATGACCCACTAACCCGCTGACCCGCTGATCCGCTGACTCGCTAATCCGCTCACCCGCTCATCCGCTGACCCGCTGACCTGCTAGAGATAGAGGGGATAGGGGTAGGGGGGATAGGGATAGTGGGGATAGGGATAGTGGGGATAGGGATAGTGGGGATAGGGATAGTGGGGATAGGGATAGTGGGGATGGGGATAGTGGGGATACGGATAGGGATAGTGGGGATAGGGATAGGGATAGTGGGGATAGGGATAGGGATAGTGGGGATAGGGATAGTGGGGATAGGGATAGTGGGGATAGGGATAGGGGGATAGGGATAGTGGGGATAGGGATAGTGGGGATAGGGATAGTGGGGATAGGGATAGGGATAGTGGGAATAGGGATAGTGGGGATAGGGATAGTGGGGATAGGGATAGGGATAGTGGGGATAGGGATAGTGGGGATAGGGATAGTGGGGATAGGGATAGTGGGGATAGGGATAGTGGGGATAGGGATAGTGGGGATAGGGATAGTGGGGATAGGGATAGTGGGGATAGGGATAGTGGGGATAGGGATAGTGGGGATAGGGACAGAGGGAATAGGGATAGCCCTTCCCCCTTCGGCTGCTGAGTAGCTGCAGCGCGAGCGCGCCTCCCCAGACCCGCCCAAGCTGCAGCGTGCTCTGGCGCTGCAAGTGCAGGCAGAGGGTTATACGCTCCTGCTTGACCAGGCTCGCCAGATGCCGCTCAACCCGCTACAGGGGCACACTCAGCGCCTCCTGTCCTTGGTGGGCCCTGGGCCTGGCGACTGGCTCCACGCCCTCCCCATGGCCTCCGCCTTACGCCTCTCCCCCGGCCAGTTTTCCACGGCAGTTGCCTTCCGCCTCGGCCTCCCGTTCTCAACGCCCCACGTGTGTGACTGCCCCAAGCGCAAGCCCATCCAGGACCCCCGCTTGCCCAACCACCTCCTCAGGTGTGCCAAGGGGCCCTGGACGAACGGGCACCCATCACGGTCTTTGTGATGAGTGCGCTCGCATAGCCACTGAGGCCGGCTTCATCACGCGCAAGGAGACCAACCTCTTCTCGAGGGTGGCCAACTTGTGGGCGGACGTCGCCATCCGCCACCGCTACACGGGGGCGGTATGGCTGTGTGACGTCACTGTCACCGATCCTATCTCCAAAGAGGACCCGCACACCCGCAAGGGGACCGGCTGGGCTGCACGGGTGGCGGCCCGGGGGAAGGAAAATAAGTACAGAGTGGGTTCTGGACGAGTGGGTTGGCTTCTTTGCCATGGCGGCAGAGACTTTTGGGCTCACCACGCCGGGGGTCTTCGGGTTCCTCCGCCAATGCGCGGAGCTGGCCGCGAAGAAGCGGTACAATGCGGCACCTACCTTGCGCGAAGCTGCCAAGCTCTTCCATGAGTACCGGCAGCGGTGGGTCCGTCACTCTCCAGCGGGGGCAAGCTGTGGCTCTGAGCACCAAGATCAACCACGCCCTGGCGGCCGAGGAGGCGCCCTGGGGCATGCAAGCGGAGCCGCTGCCCGTAGGGGATCTTCTTCAAGTACTTGAGCCAGTGCTGGGGGACCCTTAGGGTCCTCCAGCCCGGGCTGTTAGGACTTACCATTGTGGGTGTCCTCATGCCTTGCCTGTACTCTTCCTCTAATAAATACAACGGACCAATTAGGGAATAGGGATAGAGGGGATAGGGATAGAGGGGCATTGAGATAGAGGGGAGAGGAACAGTGGGGATAGGGATAAAAGAGGAAGGGATAGAGGGTTTAGGGGGAAAGGCGAAAAGGATAGAAGGGTTAGGAATAGGACGGATAGGGATAGAGGGGATAGGGATAGAGGGCATAGGGATAGAGGGCACAGGGATAGAGGGGATAGGGATAGAGGGGATAGGGATAGAGGGCATAGGGATAGAGGGGATAGGGATAGAGGGCATAGGGATAGAGGGCACAGGGATAGAGGGGATAGGGATAGAGGGCACAGGGATAGAGGGGATAGGGATAGAGGGCATAGGGTGGCTGGAGTCCAGCCGAGGGTTGGTGGCGACCTGGTGAGGGTGGCTGAGGGAGACACAGCCGCCCTACCACCCCAAGCCTGCTTATTTCACCAGCAGCAGCAGCAGCGCAGGCAGTGAAGCTGTTTGACAGCCTGTCCCAGGTGGCAGTGAGCAGGCACAGCAGCAGCGGTGCCGCCTGATGGGGGAACGCGGCCACGCACCACCTGGCCTCGTGCTCCACTACCAGTGCAGTAACCACTCAGGGAATTGTAACGCCGCTGCCAGTGGACCTGGTGGTGGGGAGGGGGGAGGGAGGAAGATGGAAGCAGGGAGGAGGAGGGAGGAATGAAAGGCCTGTGGAAAGGGCCGTCAACGAAATAGTGCTGGTGCTGCCTGGCGGGGGAACGCAACAGGCACCACCTCCACTCCTGTTCGACTGCCTGGTGCGAGAGCCACCCAGGGAACTTGCAATGCTGCTGTCACGAGGGCAGCTCAGACACCTGCCAGAGAGGCTCAGACGCTCACCGACACCCGACAACCGACAGCCGACGACAAACAGCCAAGGACAGACAGCGCCCACGCCCGACAGCCGACGACAGACAACCAACGCCCAACAGCCGACGCTCGACAGCCGAGAGCCGAGAGCCGACGCCCGATGCCTGACAGCCGACGCCCTTGAGCCGACGACCGACACCCAACGCCCGACACCCGACAGCCGACGACCAACAGCCGACGCCCGACAGCCGACGCCCAACAGCCGATGCCCGACAGCGGACGCCCGACAGCCGACGACCGACAGCCGACGCCCGACAGCCGACGCCCGACAGCCGACAGCCGATGGTCGACGGTCGGCAGCCCCCCACCTTGCTGTGTGTGAGAGCGTCTGACAGCCGCGGCTGCACCATCTGCTCGGGTCTGTCCTTCAACGACTGCACTATCAAACTAGCATTCATGGGGTAAGTAGCTCGGCCACTGGGTAAGTAGCTCGGCCACTGGGCCAGTAGCTCGGCCACAGGGGCAGAGGGTCGGCTACTGGGGCAGTAGGTCGGCTACTGGGTAAGTAGCTCGGCCACTGGGTAAGTAGTTCGGCCACTGGGTAAGTAGTTCGGCCACTGGGTAAGTAGCTCGGCCACTGGGTAAGTAGCTCGGCCACTGGGTCAGTAGCTCGGCCACTGGGAAAGTAGCTCGGCCACTGGCAGGTGTTGGCAGGTTCTGGCCGGTGCTGGGAGGTGCTAGCCGGTGCCGGCAGGTGCTGGCAGATTCTGGCAGGTGCAGGTAGCTCCTGGAAGCTCCTGGCAGCTCCTGGCAGCTGCTGGCAGCTCCTGGCAGCTGCTGGCAGCTCCTGGCAGCTCCTGGCAGCTCCTGGCAGCTCCTGGCAGCTCCTGGCAGCTCCTGGCAGCTCCTGGCAGCTCCTGGCAGCTCCTGGCAGCTCCTGGCAGCTCCTGGCAGCTCCTGGCAGCTCCTGGCAGCTCCTGGCAGCTCCTGGCAGGTGCTGGCAGGTGCTGGCAGATGCTGGCTGGTGCTGGCCGTTGCTGGCAGCTATGTGGGGCTGGCGTCCAGCTGAGGTTGGGTGGCGTTCAGCTATGGGTTTCTGGCGTGCAGCATAGGGTGGGTGGCTGGAAACCAGCTATGTGCCGTGGGCATCCGGTGGCTGGCGTCCAGCTGAGGGTTGCTGGCATCCAGCTGAGGGTGGGTGGCTTCCAACTGAGGGTGGCTGGAGTCCCACGGAGGGTGGCTGGCGTCCAGGTAAGGGCGGCTGGCGTCCAGCTGAGGGTGGCTGGCGTCCAGCTATGTGTGGCTGGCGTCCGGCTAAGGGTAGCTGGCGTCCCGCTGAGGGTGGCCGGCGTCCAGCTGAGGGTGGCTGGCGTCCTTCTGATTGTGGCTGGCGTCCTTCTGAGGGTGGCTGGAGCACCACGGAGGGTGGCTGGCGTCCAGGTAAGGGTGGCTGGCGTCCAACTGAGGGTGGCTGGCGTCCAGCTGTGGGTGGCTGGCGTCCAGCTGAGGGTGGCTGGCGTCCAGCTTAGGGTGTCTGGCATCCAGCTGAGGGTGGGCTGGCGTCCAGCTGAGGGTGGGTGGCGTCCAAGTGAGCGTGGGTGGCGTCCAGGTGAGGGCGGGTGGCTTCCAGGTGAGGGTGGCTGGCGTCCAACCACGGTTCTGCACCACCGTAGTGCACAAGCACCACGGTAGTGCACAGCACCACGGTAGTGCACAACACCACGGAAGTGCACAAGCACCATGGTAGTGCACAGCACCACGGTAGTGCACAAGCACCAGGAAGTCCACAAGCACCACGGTAGTGTGCAAGCACCACGGTAGTGCGCAAGCACCACGATAGTGCACAAGCACCACGGTAGTGCACAACCACCAGGGTAGTGCACAAGCACCACGGTAGTACACAAGCACCACGGTAGTGCCCAAGCACCACGATAGTGCTCAAGCACCACGGTAGTGCCCAAGCACCGTGGTAGTGCAAAACACCACGGTAGTGCACAAGCACCACGGTACTGCACAAGCAGCACCGTAGTGCACACGCACCACAGTAGTGCATAGAACCACGGTAGTGCACTGTCACATGATTCGAATGAAGTTTGCTGAGTGTTGCACTAACCATGAGTACAAGGTGCTTTTATACTTTCAGAGTACATCAGGTAACCAGATGTGTCTTACCCAAAAGGAATCGACCCTTCTACAAATAAAATCACCATGTGCATAGTCACGTGAGGCTATTGGCTTAAAGGGATTACGGCAAGATTACGCTAGATATAGCGCGCCAGTACATCCCGAGCCTGGTCGGTGATATAATTATAAAAACAGGATAAACCAAAGGATTATGGAAAATGAGTAATATGAAACCAAATGAGATGAGAAAAAGACCAAATGAATCATGATAAAAAGAGAAAGGAAATAGAAAGGAAATATGGAAAGGGGAAATTGGTGTAGCGGGGTCGTACTCTCACATGCACAATGAACAAGCACCACGATAGTGCCCAAGCACCATGGTAGTGCAGAAGCACCACGGTAGTGCAAACGCACCACGGTAATGCACAACACCACGGTAGTGCACAGCACCACGGTAGTGCACTGCACCACGGTAGTGCATAGAACCACGATACTACATAAGCACCATGGTAGTACACAATGCACAAGCACCACGGTAGTGCACAATGCACCAGCCCCACGGTAGTGCACAAGCACCACGGTAGTGCCCTAGCACCACGGCAGTGCCCAAGCACCACGGCAGTGCACAAGCACCACAGTAGTGCGCAGAACCACGGTAGTGCACAAGTACTACGGTAGAGCACAGCACCACCGTAGTGCTGCACAACACCACGGTTATGCACAGCAGCACGGTAGTGCACAAGCAGCACGGTAGTGCCCAAGCACCACGGTAGTGAACAGCACCACAGTAGTGCACACGCACCATGGCGGTGTACAAGCACCACGATAGTGCACAGCACCACGGTAGTGCACAAGCACCACGGTCGTGCCACAGCACTACGGTAGTGCCACAGCACCAAGGTAGTGCCACAGCACCACAGTAGTGCCACAGCACCACGGAAGTGCCACACCACCACAGTAGTGCGACAGCACCACCGTAGTGCCACAGCACTACAGTAGTGCCACTTAAGTGAGCTACCTTCCCTAAGCTCACTTAAGTGAGCTCACTTCCCTGAGCTCACATCGCTGAGCTCACTTGTGTAAGCTCATTTGCCTCAGCTCACTTCCTTCAGCTCACTTAAGTGAGCTCTCATTCCTGAGCTCAGTTGGGTGAGCTAGCATCCCTGAGCTGACATCTCTGAGCTCACTTCCCTCAACTCGCTTTCCTGAGCTCACTTCCCTCAGCTCGCTTCACTGAACTCGCTTCCCTGAGCTCACCTGAGTGAGCTTAATTCCCTGAGCTCACTTGAGTGAGCTCATTTCTCTCTGTTCACATCCCTTAGCTCACATCCCTGAGAAGACTTCCCTGAGCTCACTTCCCTAAGGTCACTTGCGTGAGCTCCTCTCCCGCCCGGTAGGCCTCATCTCTCGCCCGGTAGGCCTCCTCTCTCGCCCGGTAGGCCTCCTCTCTCGCCCGGTAGGCCTCCTCTCTCGCCGGGCAGGCCTCATCTCTCGGCCAGCAGGCCTCCTCTCTCGCCCGGCAGGCCTCCTCCTTCGTCCGGTTGGCCTCCTCTCTTGTCCGGTTGGCCTCCTCTCTCGCCTGGTAGGCCTATTCTCTCCCATGGAAGGCCTCCTCTCCCGCCCGGTAGGTCTCCTCTCTCGCCCGGTAGGCCTCCTCTCTCCCATGGTAGGCCTCCTCTCCCGCACGGTAGGCCTCCTCTCCCACCCTGTAGGCCTCCTCTCTTGCCTGGTAGGCCTCCTCTCTCGCCCGGTAGGCCTCCTCTTCCGCCCGGTAGGCCTCCTCTCTCGCCCGGTAGGCCTCCTCTTCCGCCCGGTAGGCCACCTCTATCGCCCGTAGGCCTCCTCTCTCGCCCAGTAGGCATCCTCTCTCGCCCGGTAGGCATCCTCTCTCGCCTGGTAGGCCTCCTCTCTCGCCCGGTACGCCTCCTCTCTCGCCAGGTAGGCCTCCTCTCTAGCCCGGTAGGCCTCCTCTCTCCCCAGGTAGGCCTCCTCTCTCCCCCGATAGGCCTCCTCTCTCGCCCGACAAGCCTCCTCTCTCCCCCGAGAGGCCTCCTCTCTCGCCCGATAGGCCTCCTCTCTCGCCCGATAGGCTTCTCTCTCGCCCGATAGGCCTCCTCTCTCGCCTGGTAGGCCTCCTCTCTCGCCTGGTAGACCTCCTCTCCCCCCCGGTAGGCCTCCTCTATCGCCCGATAGGCCTCCACTCTTGCTCGGTAGGCATCCTCTCTCGCCCGGTACGCCTCCTCTCTCCCCGGTAGGCCTCCTCTCTCGCCCGGTAGGCCTCCTCTCTCGCCCGGTAGGCCTCCTCTCCCGCTCAGTAGGCCTCCTCTCTCGCCCGGTAGGCCTCCTCTCTCGCCCGGTAGGCCTCCTCTTCTGCCCTGTAGGCCTCCTCTCTCGCCTGTAGGCCTCCTCCCTCGCCCGGTTGGCCTCCTCTCTCGCCCGGTAAGCATCCTCTCTCGCCCGGTAGGCCTCCTCTCTCCCCCGGTAGGCCTCCTCTCCCACCCGGTAGGCCTCCTCTCTCGCCCGGTAGGCCTCCTCTCTCGCCCGGAAGGCCTCCTCTTCCGCCCAGAAGGCCTCCTCTCTCACTCGCAGGCCTCCTCTCTTGCCCAGTAGGCATGCTCTCTCGCTCGGTAAGCATCCTCTCTCGCCCGGTAGGCCTCCTCTCTCGCCCGGTAGGCCTCTTCTCTAGCTCGGTAGGCCTCCTCTCTCCCTAGGCAAGCTTGTATGCCCTCTCTCATTTTAATCAATCAAAGTCCCGTCTTCTTACATGGTATCAGAGCTTGTTTCCGCCTAAGCGGCTCTTGATCCTCTCGCTCCGTTGGAGCTTAGCATTTGCATCTTACGGCGCAAAGCTTTTCTAGCCGCCTCAACTCAGCGCGGCGATCCTCCTGGGCCGGCTCCCGTCGCCCCTTATCTGCGCGGCTCCTCTTCGGGCTGACGCCTGTCGCCCCGCATCTGCGAGGCGCTTCTCCTCGGGCTGATGCCCGTCGCCCCGCATCTGCGCGGCTCTTCTCTTCGGACCACCGCCCGTCGCCCCGCATCTGCGCAGCGTTTATCTTCGGGCTGCCGCCCGTCGCCCCGCATCTGCTCATCGCACCTGTCTCGGGCCGTCGCCCGTCGCCCTACATCTGCACGTCGAAGCTGAACGGGCTGCCGCCCGTCGCCCTTGCAACAGCAGGGGGTCTCAGCGGCAAAGCAGAACGGGAGCAGCAGCGGGTGCAGCAGCGGGTGCAGCGGCGTAGCAGATTTAATCACTATTTCGTGACTTTCCGGACGGCTCGTTTCCTATTGAGTTCCGACAAATCGACACTCTGAGCATTAAAAATGTGCTTCGGAAAGTATCGACGACTTAAGAGCTGCGTTGTGGGCAGGAGAAAGGGGCGCTTTACACCATGGCCTTCCCCTCCGCGTCCCTTGGTACCCCAATCACCCCGTTGCGCCTTGACCCCAACAGCACAAGCCCCAATTTCAAGGAATGGAGCTACGGCATCGACAAGCACCTTCTAAGCCGCAAGGTCGAAGGCATCTGCCTTAAGAATGTATTGCTCAACCGCGGCAAAAAGAAGATGCCCACTCCACTCAAGGAACTCCCGACGAATGCCACTGAAGAAGAGTCCAAGGCGCACGAAGATCTGACAACCAAGTACGAGGAAACTTACAATGTGTGGGAACAGGCCGACGCTGCTATCATTGGCGTGTTCGTCAGCACCACTCCTTCCGAGCTAGTTAAAACGTATCATAACTACCCGTCCGCCCATGCCATCTGGGAATACCTCAATGACCGCTTCCTCAACAAAACTGCTGTGGGGGTGGCAATCCTCATTCCTCGCATGTTTCAAGTGCGCTTGGAGGAATGACCTGGCATGGTAGACAATGTGGCGGAGATTCACGGTATTCACCAAGAGCTGAAGCAGCTTGGCATTGTTTTCCCAGAACAAGCCCGTGCCGCAGCTGCTCTCCTCTTTGGGTTGACTCCGTCCTACACTCCATGCTCCCGCCGGAAGTGTCGCGTTACCCACGGGAAGAGATGGGCTTCCCATGGTTAACACAGCAGCAAGGGAAGAGTGGGTTGAGGAAGAGAAGAATCAAAGAAGAAGACCTGGGGTGAATCGGTAAGAATAACAGAAAAGTAAGGTGATACGGAAGAAGGTACAGTACGGCACTGTACCAATTCAGCAATACAGCAAATCGAGGGGGTGGAGACAGAAATGTCGAAGGACCGAGGCGCGAACCAAGATGAGGTGGAGGGCGTCAGCAGGGGCCCGATCTGACGAAAAGGGGGTCAAGCGTAATCTCAGTTCTCAAGGGAAGAAAGCGAAGGGGGAAAGACAGAGCAGAGGAAACTAGATGTGTAAATAGTGGGCAACTCAGTAGGATGATCGCTTTTCGCTTGTATGTTTTCCTTCAATACTGCAAATTCGCTCTAATCCTACTATGGTTCAGCAGTGCGGGAATTCGATCCTAAGTAGATCTGAGCAGCGCAACCTCTATCGGCTCCTTCGTGCTTGGCATCCACTTGGGTGGTCCTCCCTCTGCCGTCATGATGAGCATTCCCTTGGTTACTGTCTCCAGCTTCCCTTGCTTCCGCAATCGCTCTGCTAGCTTTCTCCCCATCAGGACACTTTGAGCTCCGGTATCGATTATAGCATTGTCCACCTTCATTCCTTGTACTGCTATGGAGCCCGCTTCAGCCAGCAGCGCACTCGTGTGGCACACCAGCCTGTCTTCTGGGTGTCGCTTTGCTCGGTCTCCTCCTTCTTCCGGCTCTCTTCCTGGCTTCTTACTCCGTGTCTCTGTCTTAAGTTCCTTCCTTCCGTCCACCCCGCCGCTCCGCAGTCCCAGGTCCGCTCTTTCCCACGGTAGAGTCGCCACCAGGGCATACTCGGACTCCTGGTCTTCTTCCTCCTCAGCATCATCATCCTCCCAAGCCATCATTGCTTTCTCAGGGTCTTCGTTGATTTCTGCTTTCCCCAGCTGCGCCCTCAGCTTCTTGACTTCCTGCTCCAGCTCTTGCTCTCTCGACGTTCTCCCCACTTGTCCTCGTCCTCTCCGATAACACTGGCTGTTGAGGTGTCCTTTCTTTCCGCACTCGCTGCAGGTGGGAGCTCTGGGACAGTTTCTCCTGAAGTAGCCCATCTGCCCGCAGTGGTCGCACGTGATGCCCACCACACAGTCCTTGCGCAGGTGGCCGACTTCTCCGCACTTGTAACAGCGGCGATCGTCCCTCATCCTCTCTCTCCTCTCTTCTTCTGGTCGCCGCGCTTCGGTCGCCGACCATACCGGTCTTCTCCGATCTGGGGGTCGACGAGCTCCTCTCATCATGTCTACATAGCGCCTCCCCTCCTCAGCTTCTTTAGCTATCTGATACACTTGCCTCAGCGTGGCCTTAGAACGAATTGGATAGAGAGCGATCCTCATTTCGTTGACTAATTCTTCATCTAATCCTCCTAAGAACTTGGTGACCATCAGACGGTCCTCCAAACAGTTGAGGTCTTCAGACAGCTCCACTAGCCGGTTGTAATAGGCCAGCAACGACTTGCCTTTCCCTCTACGGAATTCACTGAATTCTGCTACTCGATCTGCTGTATCGCCTGGAAATTGCTCCTTGAGGATATCATAAAACCGATCTACGATCTTACGGGGCGGAATTTCTCCCTGCTCACACTCGCGCAGCAGCCTTGCCCTCTCCACTCGATAGTGGGTTTGCGCCTCTCCTCTGAGCGTCTTTCCCAGGCCTCTAAAGAACTCTATCAGATCTAGCCCCTCTCGATCCCATCAGTAGCGGAGGGGGCAGCAGAGCTTGGTCCCAGGGCACCAGTGATAACCTACACAAGGCGGAATGGATCAGGGAGGAAGAAGGGTAAGGGGGAAGGATAGTTGAAGCAAAGGAAGACTCGGGAGTGGCACGAAGCACGACAGAAGAGCTCACCTTCGCTAAAGTCTCCTCTGCGCTTCTTTCCGCCGAGAAAGACGATACCGCCCAGGCTCGAGCAAATGCACTTTTCGCTCCAAGCTCCTCCCCAACTACGCGTAGGCTTGAGCAACGGGTCAGGTCGGGTCGGGTAACCCAACCCAAACCCGAGTTTTTTACGGGTCGGGTCGACATTTGCGGAGGGTCGACCCGATCCTCGGGTACCCGACCCGACCCGACCCGACCCGACCATCAAAAACCGACCCGTCGGGTCGGCTTATTAACCGTCCCTGACCCTATGCCAACCCGACCCGACCCGACCCAAAATCGGGTCAGGTAGTACCCGACCTATTAAACCCGGGTCGGGTTGACATTTCCTGAACTACGACCCGACTTGACCCGACCCGACCCAACACGAACCCGACATCGGGTAGGGCAAAGTCGGGTCGGGTTCATGCTCAAGCCTAACTGCGCGTCCCAATGCGCCTCTTGCTCGTAACCACTACCCGCCTAGCCCCTACGTCATTAAAATGGGCCCTCGCGCAGGGCGCGTCTGCGGTGGCACCAACCACCTACTCGCCACGTGCTTAAAAAAGAAAGACGACGAGTGGTTTGCGAAGAATGGCGTCAACTCCAAGCCACCCAACTGGTTCCGCATGCGCCAGGCCAACCCGGTTGAAGTTCAGACTAGTCAGGATGCAACTGTTGACAACTCTAGTTCTGATGTTCGTCTCAACCTGTTGTTCCCATGCGTTGCCATGATCAATGAAACCACTTCGCAGTACTCGGTGCCTGAACGCTCTTCGACACTCGAATTCGTCCTTGATAGCGGAGCAACCCACACCGTCCTCAAGGACAAAGAGACTTTCAAACCATACCAAGCACCCATCCTTACTTGGTGCCGACTCGAGCTTCACCACCCTCGCCCATGGCTCATCCACACTTCCATGCCCGGCATTCCCTTCCGGCTCTGTCACTGGTATATGCCTTCCCACGCTAAGGCACAATCTCCTCGCACAGCACGAAATTCAGCGGGCAGGGGTCACCACCATCTTCCCCGCTCACTCCAACCACAGTGATCTCATTGATCCAACATGCAACACGCTTCCCGCGCGCTTTACTTGCAGAGTTTACTGCTATAACGAAAGCTTCTGCGGAAGTGCCTGACGCAGATAGAGCTCTCTAGCTCTGTCGTTCTCTAAGGAGAAAGTTGCCTTCAGAATTGTGTGTTTCACTGAGTAGCTTTTGAGAAAGCTTAGGCACACAAATTCACTAGAATCAAGATTACAAAGTATGGTACACAAGGCAAACACTAGTACTACCCCATTGAACCTCATTCAACACGGCGAGAACGTTCGCACAAGAACGTTTACATAACTACTTTAAGCTGCGCTTAGCCAAGTCAGCAATGGCAGGTGAAAATTACAGCACATGCTTAGCTGGTAATTGTTACCCACTTAGAAGTAGTTATTCTAACAGTTTCAGATATGAAACTTTCAGATGTTACGCACATTTCCGCAGTTACGAAATGCGCGTCAGGTGTTCAATTTCTCAATGTCGCAGGTAGATTTTGCCGTTTTTCGGCCCAGATCGGTTCTGAGGTTAACTTACGAAATCGCGAATTTCTCGCGATTTCGGAACGTACCTTCATCAGAAAAACTAAGTCCGAGATAGCCGAATTGCATTTCTGCCGAACTCCCGCAGAACGCAATTGTGCGCGAACAGGTTCTTGCGCCACTGTGCCCGAGGTCCTGTCGGAACACATTTCCGAGAGTCGTTTCTGCCGAAAGGGTCGCCCGCAGAAATGTCTTCTGCGCGATACTTCTGCAGAGGACATCCCTTCTGCGAATGGTCCCTGGTGCCAAATCCGGAGAGGGTCTTGTACACTCTCAATTCTGCTGCGACAGCTTCTACAGAATCCCATAAATCTGTAGAAGCCATATGCAGAAAAAGCGCTCCTGTTCTGCCACTCCGACAGAACCGCTTTTCTGCCACCAACGAAAACTGCTCTTCTGCCGCTTCCCGCAGAGCCTCGTCTTGTCGACAAATCTGCTCTTCGTCGATGGGCCTTTCTGCAGGGCTCGTGTCCGCAAACTTCGTTGATACGCCGCTTCCGCAGATTTCTGCAACCTTCGCAGGATCAGGGCTATTCTCAACATTACTCTCTCCTCCAACAACCTCTACATGTTTCAAGTGCCTTCACCTCGCATTGAAGTTCACACAACCTTCACGTGCTCGTGTCGCCACCTCTCCGACCCTACCTTGCTTTTCCGCCACCGGCTCGGGCACCCCAATTTTCGCACCCTCTCAGAGCTCGCCTCCAAGAAAATCCTTCTCCATCTTCCCGACTCTCTTCCCCCACCATCGCCTTCACCAGCACCTCCCTGTCTGGACTGTATACAAAGTAAATTGTGTCAATTGCCTCACCCTCCATCACCCTCCGCCACATGGATCCATATGGATCTCTGGGGGGCGGCGCCTAATCAATCCCGTGGTGGACATTCATACTTCGTGGTACTCGTGGACGATCACTCTCGCAACGCATCCGTCCACCTCCTTTCCTCCAAAGCGGCGGTCCTTGATACCGTCATCACCTGGGTTCGGCAAGCTCAAACCACTTTCGCACCTCCGTCAAGTGTCTCCATTCCGACGGCGGCGGCGAGTTCCGCAATCACACCCTTCACATATTTTGCGCTTCGCAAGGAATTCGCCAAACCTTCACTCTTCCGCACAGCCCGGAGCAGAATGGCATCGCAGAAAGCCGCAATCGCACTCTTGTGCAAATTGCCCGCTGTCTTCTCACGCACGCTGCCGCTCCACCCTCCCTTTGGAGATACACTCTCCTTCACGCCACCCTCCTCTACAACCTTCACCTTCATCCCCTTCACCCCGAGGTCACGCCTGCCGCGCTCTGGACATGCTCCAAGCCAAGTGCAAGCCCGCTCCGCGTCTGGGGGTGTACCGCTTATGTCCTCCTCAATCCTCAAGATCACCGCACCCATGGCGGCAAGTTTGCTCCCAAGACTCAAACATGCGTCTACCTTGGTCACAACCTCGATTCTCCAGCCTACATTTTTCTCAATCCATCCACTAATGAACTCATCCATAGCCGAGATGTCGCTTTTGACGAGACTCACCCATTTTATCTTCACTCGTCTCCCGCCCCCGCTCCACCTTCGCTCGTCTCGGCCGATTTCGACGCCTCGTTCTCCATCCCCGATGCCACCACTCCTGATTCCTCTACCCTCTCCTCCTCACCCGCTCTGTCTCCTTCCGTTGTTTCCCACCCTCCTTCCCTCGCCACCTCGGGTGCTCCCTCTTCCCCTCCTCCCGCGCTGACACCATTGCCTGCGCCTTCCTCCCCTGCACCATTGCCTCCGGCATCCGCGCCTGCCGCTCCCCCTCCCGCCGCCCCACCCGTCACCTATCGGTGCTGTCGCCAAGGTCGTTCTTATGTTTCCGTCCCACCTACTCCTCCGCCGCCTCCTTCCTCCCCCGTCGCTCATCGTACCCGTTCCAATGGTCCCATCTAGCCTCTCGCTCTCTCCGTCCACATCTCCCTCAATCCGCCTCCTCCTGCCGGGGGTGCACTCATGCCTGGCCTACGGGAGGATAGGCATGAGGAGCTGATTGATATCAATGATGATATTCGTTAGCTCTGCTATCTCTTCCCTGATCTTGCAGATGCTCCAACCCTCAACTTCTCAGAGAATCCATCCATCCTGACCCCGAACACGTACGATGAAGCCATCTCTGGGCCGCACTCCCCGCAGTGGCTTGCAGCCATGATCGCGGAGTGTGAAGCATTCATTCGCACCATCTCCTTCAAGGATGTCTCCCCTCCTTCAGGAGTGAACATCGTCCGCGGCAAATAGGTGTTTCGTGTCAAACAGCTACCTGGTGAACTCTCGGTCTTTAAGGCGCGTTACTGTGCGAAAGGCTTCACGCAGAAAAAGGGGCTGGATTTCTTTGACACCTTCTCCCCAATGGCTAAACTGCCTACCCTTCGCACTCTCCTTGACGTCGCTGCTCGAGGCAACTTCGAGGTCCACTCTATGGATGTCTCAACGGCATTCCTGCAAGGAGACCACCCTGAGGATATTTTCATGAAACGGCCTCAGGGTTCCCCTTACCCTTTCCACCTGGCACAGCCTGGAAGTTGAATCGACCCGTCTACGAGCTGAAGCAAGCATCTCGCGAATGGCATAAGAAGCTGAAGGCCACCCTCGAGTCACTCGACTTTCATCCTTCTGCCGCCGATCCGAGCCTTTTCATTCGCAAGAACGAGACGCCGTTCTTCATTCTCGTCTATGTTGACGACATTATCTTCGTCTCCAAGGACTCCGATCAGCTGGCAGCAGTCCAGCAAGCCCTAGGGGACGCGCTTGCGATGAAGGATCTCGACGAACTCAAGAACTACTTTGGGATGGAAATCACGCGGGATCGTAAAGCCAAAACCATTACTCTCTCCCAAGAGTTCTATGTGAACAACGTCCTCAAGCGCTTCGACATGGACGAAGCCAAGTCAGTGGCTACGCCGCTTCCCCTGCAGCACGATCTGACTACACCGTCAGTTCCATCACCTGAGCCTTGTGATGCGGCTTATCCCGAGCTCGTCGGCTGACTCATGTATGCGATGATGTGCACAAGGCCCGACTTGGCCTATCCCATCAGCGTGCTCTCACGTTATGTTGCTGCTGGTCGTTACACCAATCGCCACTGGTCAGCTGCTAAGCGTGTCCTTCGCTACCTTCAAGCCACCAAGGACTTTGTCCTAACTCTCGGTGGCACTTCCCCTCCTCACCTCGAGGGGTACAGAGACTCCTCATGGGCTGACGACCAAGCTTACCAACGCTCCTCCCAGGGCTATTGCTTCACCCTTGGTAGTGGTGTCATCAGCTAGCGATCTACACGCACATCGTCCGTCTCTTTGTCGTCCTGTGAAGCAGAGCTGTACGCAGGCACCATGGCAGCGCAAGAAGCCCGATGACTTACCGACCTCATGGCTAAGCTCGGGGATCCTCAGCGGACCCTAGCCCTATGGTGTGACAACGAGAGCACTATACACCTTACCAAAGACCCTGTCTTCCACCAACAGACCAAGCATATCGAGCTTCGGCACTTCTTTATGCGCGAGTTGGTCCAGCATGGCCAGTTGTGGGTGAAGCACATTTCTTCTGACTGCAACCTCGCAGACCTGTTCACCAAGTCTCTTGGATGCCGGGACCACTACCACCTCCTCTGTGCTATGGGTCTTGGCGTCCTGATGACTTCAGACGTTGCAGCCTAGGGGGTGTGTTCGAGATAGGCTGCAATGTTGCACATTTGTGTGCTAGTCATTTGTTTATTTAGGGTTAGGAATGTTTGTTAGGTTGGGTGTAGCTTTTTTATCCCCAACCTATCCCAACCCAATCCATCCCAAATCCCCACGATTTGGGAGGGTTCCCTTGGATTCCCTCCGATTCCCCTTATCCCTTCCAACCCTCTCCTATGGTTAGTTTTTAAGCTTGTATGCCCTCTCATTTTAATCAATCAAAGTCCCGTTTTCTTACAGGCTTCTCTCTCGCCCGATAGGACTCCTCTCTCGGCCGGTAGGCCTCCTCTCTCGCCTGGTAGGCCTCCTCTCCCCCCCAGTAGGCTTCCTCTCTCACTCGGTAGGCCTCCTCTCTCGCCCGGTAGGCATCCTCTCTCGCCCGGAAGGCATCCTCTCTCGCCCAATAGGCCTCCTCTCTTGCCCGGTTGGCCTCCTCTCTCGCCCGGTAGGCCTCCTCTCTCCCCCGGTAGGCCTCCTCTCTTGCCCGGTAGGCCTCCTCTCTCGCCCGGTAAGCTTCCTCTCTCGCCCGGTAGGCTTCTCTCTCACCCGGTAGGCCTCCTCTCTCGCCCGGTAGGCCTCCTCTCTCGCCCGGTAGGCCTCTTCTCTCGCCCGGTAGGCCTCCTCACTTGCCCGGTAGGCCTCCTCTCTCCCTCGGTAGGCCTCCTCTCTCGACCGAAAGGCCTCCTCCCTCGCCCGGTAGGCCTCCTCTCTTGCCCGGTAGGCCTTCTCCCTTGCCTGGTAGGCCTCCTCTCTCGCCTGATAGGCCTCCTCTCTCTCCCCGTAGGCCTCCTCTATCGCCCAGTAGGCCTCCTCTCTCGCTCGGTAGGCCTCCTCTCTCGCCCGGTAAGCCTCCTCTCTCGGCCGATAGGCCTCCTCTCCCGCCTTGTAGGCCTCCTCTCTCGCCCGTAAGGCGTCCTCTCCGCCCGGTAGGCCTCCTCTCTCGCCCGGTGAGCCTCCTCTCTCGCCCGGTAGGCCTCCTCTCTCGCCCGGTAGGCCTCCTCTCTCGTCCGGTAGGCCTCCTCTTTCGGCCGGTAGGCCTCTCTCACCCGGTAGGCCTCCTTTCTCGCCTGGTAGGCCTCCTCTCTCGCCCGGTAGGCCTCCTCTCTCGCCCGGTAGGCCTCCTCTCTCGCCCGGTAGGCCTCCTCTCTCGCCCGGTAGGCCTCCTCTCTCGCCCAGTAGGCCTCCTCTGTCATTTTCCTCTGCTCACTTCCTTGAGCTCACTTCCCTAAGCTCACTCAAATGAGCTCATTTCTCTCAGCTCATTTCCCTGAGCTCACTGAACAAACCGTACTCCCCAGAGCTGATTTCCCCGAGCTCACTTGAGTGAGCTCACTTTCTTGAGCTCATTTCCTTGAGCTCTTTTCCTTGAGCTCACACTTCCCTGAGCTCACTTGAGTAAGCTCATTTCCCTCAGCTCACTTCCCTGAGCTCACTTTCCTGAGCTCAAATATGTGCGATTGCTCTCCTGAGCTCACATCCTTGAGCTCACTTCCCTCATCTCGCTTTCCTGAGCTCACTTCCCTCAGCTCGCTTCCCTGAGCTCATTTAAGTGAGCTCACTCCCCTGAGCTGACGTGCATAAGCTCACTTAAGTGAGCTCCCTTCTCTGAGATCGCTTCCCTGAGATCACTTCCCTGAGCTCACATCCCTGAGCTCACTTCGCTGAGCTCACGTCCCTGGGCTCAGTGGCCTGAGCTCACTTAAGTGAGCTCACTTCCTTGAGCTAACTTCCCTGACCCCATTTCCCTCGATTCACCTCCCTGAGCTCACATCCCTGAGCTCACTTCCTTGAGCTCACTTGCCAGAGGTCACTTGAATGAGCTCACTTTCCTGAGCTCACTTATCTGAGCTCACTTCCCAGAGCTCACTCGAATGAGCTCATTTCCCTGCGCTTACTAAAGTGAGCTCACTTTCATGAGCTCACTTCCTTTAGCTCACTTTCTTGAGGCCACTTGTGCTCATTTCCCTCAGCTCACTTCCCTGAGCTCACTTTTTTTAGCTCAGTTAAGTGAGCTCACTTCCTAGAGCTCATATCCCTGAGCTCACCTCCCTGAGTTCGCTTCTATGATCTTAGTTAAGTGAGCTCACTTCCTTGAGCTCACTTAACTGCGCTAACTTCCCTAAGCTCACGTAAGTGAGCTTACTCGAGTGAGCTCATTTCCCTCAGCTCGTTTTCCTGAGCTCACGTCCCTGAGCTCAATTAAGTGAGCTCACTTCCCTGAACTCACTTTCCTGAGCTGACTTCCCAGAGCTCACTTCCCTGAGCTAACTTAAGTGAGCTCACTTTCCTAAGCTCAGTTAAGTGAGCTCATTTAAGTGAGCTAACTTCCCTGAGCTCACGTAAGTGAGCTCACTTCCCCGAACTCACGTAAGTGAGCTCACTTCCTTGAGCTCACTCAAGTGAGCTCATTTCCTTCAGGTCATTTTCCTAAGCTCACGTACCTGAGCTCAGTTCGGTGAGCTCACTTCCCTGAGCTCACTTCCCTAGTCTCACTTCCATGGTCTCACTTCCCTGAGTTCACTTCAGTGAGCTCACTTCCCTCAGCTCACTTACGTGAGCTCACTTCCCTGAGCTCACTTATCTGAGCTCACTCAAGTCACTTCCCTTACCTCACTTTAGTGAGCTCACTTCCCTGACCTCACTTAAGTGAGCTCACTTCCGTGAGCTCACATCCCTTAGCTCACATCACTTAACTAAGGTGTGCTCAATCCCGTGAGCTCATTTCCCTGAGCTCACTTAAGTGAGCGCTTCCATGACCTCACTTCCCTGAGCTAAGTTATGTAAGCTCACTTCCCTGAGCTAAGTTATATGAGCTCACTTCCTTGAGCTAAATTATGTGAGCTCACTTCCTTGAGCTAAGTTATGTGAGCTCACTTCCCTGAGCTAAGGTATGTGAGCTCACTTCCTTGAGCCAAGCTATGTGAGCTCACTTCCCTGAGCTAAGTTATGTGAGCTCACTTCCCTGAGCTAAGCTATGTGAGTTCACTTCCTTGAGCTAAGTTATGTGAGCTCACTTCCCTGAGCTAAGTTATGTGAGCTCACTTCCCTGAGCTAAGTTATGTGAGCTAACTTCCCTGAGCCAAGCTATGTGAGCTCACTTCCCTGAGCTAAGTTATGTGAGCTCACTTCCCTGATCTAAGCTATGTGAGCTCACTTCCTTGAGCTAAGTTATGTGAGCTCACTTCCCTGAGCTAAGTTATGTGAGCTCACTTTCTTGAGCTACAGTAACTTATGTGAGCTCACTTCCCTGAGCTAAGTTATGTGAGCTCACTTCCCTGAGCTAAGTTATGTGAGCTCAATTCCATGAGCTACAGTAAGATATGTGAGCTCACTTCCCTGCGCTAAGTTATGTGAGCTCACTTCCCCGAGCTAAGTTATGTGAGCTCACTTCCCTAAGCTAAGTTATCTGAGCTCACTTCCTTGAGCCAAGTTATGTGAGCTCACTTCCCTGAGCTAAGTTATGTGAGCTCACTTCCTTGAGCTACAGTAAGTTATGTGAGCTCACTTCCTTGAGCCAAGCTATGTGAGCTCACTTCCCTGAGCTAAGTTATGTGAGCTCACTTCCCTGAGCTAAGTTATGTGAGCTCACTTCCCTGAGCCAAGCTATGTGAGCTCACTTCCCTGAGCTAAGTTATGTGAGCTCACTTCCCTGATCTAAGCTATGTGAGCTCACTTCCTTGAGCTAAGTTATGTGAGCTCACTTCCCTGAGCTAAGTTATGTGAGCTCACTTTCTTGAGCTACAGTAACTTATGTGAGCTCACTTCCCTGAGCTAAGTTATGTGAGCTCACTTCCCTGAGCTAAGTTATGTGAGCTCAATTCCATGAGCTACAGTAAGATATGTGAGCTCACTTCCCTGCGCTAAGTTATGTGAGCTCACTTCCCCGAGCTAAGTTATGTGAGCTCACTTCCCTAAGCTAAGTTATCTGAGCTCACTTCCTTGAGCCAAGTTATGTGAGCTCACTTCCCTGAGCTAAGTTATGTGAGCTCACTTCCTTGAGCTACAGTAAGTTATGTGAGCTCACTTCCTTGAGCCAAGCTATGTGAGCTCACTTCCCTGAGCTAAGTTATGTGAGCTCACTTCCCTGAGCTAAGTTATGTGAGCTCACTTCCCTGAGCCAAGCTATGTGAGCTCACTTCCCTGAGCTAAGTTATGTGAGCTCACTTCCCTGATCTAAGCTATGTGAGCTCACTTCCTTGAGCTAAGTTATGTGAGCTCACTTCCCTGCGCTAAGTTATGTGAGCTCACTTTCTTGAGCTACAGTAACTTATGTGAGCTCACTTCCCTGAGCTAAGTTATGTGAGCTCACTTCCCTGAGCTAAGTTATGTGAGCTCAATTCCATGAGCTACAGTAAGTTATGTGAGCTCACTTCCCTGCGCTAAGTTATGTGAGCTCACTTCCCCGAGCTAAGTTATGTGAGCTCACTTCCCTAAGCTAAGTTATGTGAGCTCACTTCCTTGAGCCAAGTTATGTGAGCTCACTTCCCTGAGCTAAGTTATGTGAGCTCACTTCCTTGAGCTACAGTAAGTTATGTGAGCTCACTTCCCTGAGCTAAGTTATGTGAGCTCACTTCCTTGAGCCAAGCTATGTGAGCTCACTTCCCTGAGCTAAGTTATGTGAGCTCACTTCCATGCGCTAAATTATGTGAGCTCACTTCCCTGCGCTAAGTTATGTGAGCTCACGTCCCGAGCTAAGTTATGTGAGCTCAATTCCCTGAGCTAAGTTATGTGAGCTCACTTCCATGAGCTAAGTTATGTGAGCTCACTTCCCTGCGCTAAGTTATGTGAGCTCACGTCCCCGAGCTAAGCTATGTGAGCTCACTTCCCTGAGCTAAGTTATGTGAGCTCAATTCCATGAGCTACAGTAAGTTATGTGAGCTCACTTCCCTGCGCTAAGTTATGTGAGCTCACTTCCCCGAGCTAAGTTATGTGAGCTCACTTCCCTAAGCTAAGTTATGTGAGCTCACTTCCTTGAGCCAAGTTATGTGAGCTCACTTCCCTGAGCTAAGTTATGTGAGCTCACTTCCTTGAGCTACAGTAAGTTATGTGAGCTCACTTCCCTGAGCTAAGTTATGTGAGCTCACTTCCCTGAGCCAAGCTATGTGAGCTCACTTCCCTGAGCTAAGTTATGTGAGCTCACTTCCATGAGCTAAATTATGTGAGCTCACTTCCCTGCGCTAAGTTATGTGAGCTCACGTCCCGAGCTAAGTTATGTGAGCTCAATTCCCTGAGCTAAGTTATGTGAGCTCACTTCCATGAGCTAAGTTATGTGAGCTCACTTCCCTGCGCTAAGTTATGTGAGCTCACGTCCCCGAGCTAAGCTATGTGAGCTCACTTCCCTGAGCTAAGTTATGTGAGCTCAATTCCATGAGCTAAGTTATGTAAGCTCACTTCCTTGAGCTAAGTTATGTGAGCTCACTTCCCAGAGCTAAGTTATGTGAGCTCACTTCCCTGAGCTAAGTTATGTGAGCTCACTTTCTTGAGCTACAGTAACTTATGTGAGCTCACTTCCCTGAGCTAAGTTATGTGAGCTCACTTCCCTGAGCTAAGTTATGTGAGCTCAATTCCATGAGCTACAGTAAGTTATGTGAGCTCACTTCCCTGCGCTAAGTTATGTGAGCTCACTTCCCCGAGCTAAGTTATGTGAGCTCACTTCCCTAAGCTAAGTTATGTGAGCTCACTTCCTTGAGCCAAGTTATGTGAGCTCACTTCCCTGAGCTAAGTTATGTGAGCTCACTTCCTTGAGCTACAGTAAGTTATGTGAGCTCACTTCCCTGAGCTAAGTTATGTGAGCTCACTTCCCTGAGCCAAGCTATGTGAGCTCACTTCCCTGAGCTAAGTTATGTGAGCTCACTTCCATGAGCTAAATTATGTGAGCTCACTTCCCTGCGCTAAGTTATGTGAGCTCACGTCCCGAGCTAAGTTATGTGAGCTCAATTCCCTGAGCTAAGTTATGTGAGCTCACTTCCATGAGCTAAGTTATGTGAGCTCACTTCCCTGCGCTAAGTTATGTGAGCTCACTTCCCTGAGCTAAGTTATGTGAGCTCAATTCCATGAGCTACAGTAAGTTATGTGAGCTCACTTCCCTGCGCTAAGTTATGTGAGCTCACTTCCCCGAGCTAAGTTATGTGAGCTCACTTCCCTAAGCTAAGTTATGTGAGCTCACTTCCTTGAGCCAAGTTATGTGAGCTCACTTCCCTGAGCT